GCTAGAGTTTTAGGAACTGTATAAAGATACCAAGTAATGTAACATGAAACGTCAGCGGAGCATAAGCATGACCAAAGAGTCAATCCACAGTGACATCTGTTACTACATCTTTGTCCTCACAAACAAAAGTCGTCCAGCACATCCACTGTGTAATATTCCCCCACTGTGTGGAAGCCGGTCCTGGATACTGTCGTATCCCAATTTAGGCTAACCTTAGTGGCTCTGTCATGCCGTATTAGATTTGGGAAAGTTTACACTGCAGCAACGCCAGCCAAACTTGTTACCTGAGAGGGCGTTTGCCAGAGTCTTTTCTTAAGTTTAATGTGACAACGTTCTGTTTGAAAATACAAACGAATATGTGAGCTAAGTAAATAATAGTCTGATCTTACATTTTTCCATATCATATTTACAATACTAGAACTAACTACTTCTTATCTGCAATACAAGAACTGTTTTCCACTTCTACATGGATCATCAACTGGTATGGATAATGACTTTTTACCTGAGACCTGTAAGCTTTAGCTCTGACCTCTGACCCCCAGGTCCAGCCTGGTGTCCCATGGAGGAGGAGCTGCTGGCTCAACCTCAGGTGATGAAGCTGCTGGACTCGCTCAGGGAGCAGTATACCAGGTACCAGGAGCTCTGCAGGCAGCGAAACAAACGCACCCAGCTAGACGAGATCCATGCCAAGGTCATGCAGGTAACACTTGCACACGCACACGCACGCACACACACACACACACACACACACACACACACACACACACACACACACACACACACACACACACACCATGATGGTAGTTTTTTACCTCTGACTCTCAGAATCGGTGTCAGTAGAAATAGACTCTACTGACTCTACTGACTCTACTGCAGGGGCTGATGGGTAACACCACTGTCTTGGAGATGAGCCTGGGGTTGCCATGGTAACCGGCGCATGTCGGTCGCTAGCCTGGAGGATTTGTGGGGGGGGGGGGGGGTGGTTGGCCTAGTTCTGGATCAAACTGTGTGTGTTTGTACTTTAAGGCATCACTGACCTGATAAATACAATTAAATCATGATACTGGAACTCACATCTGGATAGACAGTTCCAGATGTTACTGTATAGTACTATGGTGAGCATCATAATTGCTGTATATGATTTTATTTTGTAAGACATAAATGTGTGTATATACACACACAATATACACGTAATATACACACAAAAAAAATTTAAAGGTGGCGTTACAGTTTTACTGTAACCAATATATATATTTGTGTTGCCAAAGTATATCAAAGAAAATTATTTTAAGAAGTGATTTTAATACAACATATGTATTTAAGAAATACAGAAGTTCACATGCTACATGGAAAGTATGTGAACTCCTTCACAGAGAGACAAGTAGAGCCTGAAGCCCCCTGCTGGTCGCTCTGCTGCACTGCATCTCAGAGACTTACTGAGACTGAAGGAGATCTGCACAATCCACAATATGTCTCCCAATGGCCCCTTTTCACTGCAGACATTTTGACATGTGCCAGTAGGAAAAGCACAAGTGTAAATAATATGAATTATGGCTGAATTACATTTAACTGCTACTGGTCATAGCTTTTACCTGCTGTTAACGGTGCATGTAACATAATTTTAAGCTTTGTGATTGGATGTTTCTTAAGAAATGCACTTTGGGAATTGTAGTTAATCTCTCATCTTACATTTGTTTATACACGGCATGTACTATGGACTGTCAGATGAAAGCCAGATATTTTCTAACAACTCCTTGTTTGTACTAATGATTCAACCAGAAGAGTTTCATGTCCATGCAGTTTGCAAGTGCTTCAGATGTGTCTCAGTTGACATTGTCTATGGGACTTTTACCTCCAGAACCAGCTCCTCACACTTCCTCTCACTTCTCCCTCCCTAGAAGATCACAAGTCTGTATTTAGCATTTTCTCTCTTTCTCTCAGGTGGTCACCTGGCTGCAGGGTCCAGGATCAGAGCTGTTGAAGACTCAGCAGGCAATCGGAGACTCGATTCGAGCTGCTCAGGCCCTGCAGCAGAAACACGAGGAGATCGAGAGCCAGCACAGTGTAATGCAGCACATTGAACACACACACATACGCACACCGACACACACCAAGGTCAAATGGATTAATCAGATTTGGGGTTACAAAGAGATCTGTCTGTAGTCGCAAAAAGGTCAGAAGAATGTTGCATAAATAAATTCACTGTCATTCAATCTCAATGAATTTCATCTGACACTTTCATGGTGTGATCACTGCAGTAACTGAGACTCAGAGCTTCACACACAGTAGTGGGTACAGTACAGACAACTCATCGTCTGCACATGTTAATTCATGTTAAGCCACAGAAATAAAAACTCTTAAACTGACATGACAAACATTAAAAGAATGGTTTGGCATCCTTTATACACTTCTTGTCTTTCTTGCAGAAAGTTAGATGAGAACATTGATACCAGTTTCATATCTGTTGCTACAGCCTTAGCTAGATTAGATTAGATTAGCATAACACTGGAAACAGCTAGTCTGGTTCTGTCCAAAGGAAACAAAATCAGCCTACCAACATCTCAAATTCATAGTAATTAGTATGTTAGATCTCTATTGAGGAATCTGTGGAGATATGACAAGGGTTATGGCCACTACCATTTCTGGCTGGGAAAAGTGACATAGTCAAAACTCACATCAAACAAAACGACACACAGAATGTTAATTACTGCTGTTTTCAGTCTTTATGCTAAGCTAACTGTTTCCTGACTTCAGCTTCATATTTAACGCACAAGCACGAGAGTTGTATCAGTCAAAGAAATTCAATAAATGTATATCCTAATATGTTAGACGTTTCTCTTAAAATAACTGCTCCCAGCAACTGCTCTCTCAGTTTCTGTGTCATATGAAAATTACATTTCACAGAATATGTAGCATTTTTTTTTAAAAACAGAACATTATATCCTTCTTGAAGGAAGCATTTATTGTAGGGGTAATGTATTAGAGTGTTTTAGTTTTAGCTTGGTGTAACTAAAAACTATAGTTACAGAGTATAGATGTTGGGATGTATGGGTTACACTGGTGAATGTGAGCTCAGGCTGATTCTGTGTCTGTCTATATGTGTGTTTGTACAGGAGTGGTTTGCGGTGTACGTGGAGTTGAACCAGCAGATCGCTGCCTTGCTCAGTGCCGGGGAGGAGGAAGAAGTTGTGGAGCTGAAGGCGCTGCAGCAGCAGCTGAGCGACGTCTGCTACCAACAGGCGGCTCAGCTGGAAGGCCGACAGAACGTCCTGCAGGCCGCACAGGGCTTCCACAGCACCACACAGGAGGTAACGCACACATACACACATACACAGTCTGTACCTAGCCTTGCTTATCAAAAAAGAAAAAATATAAAACTACATGGATGGACAACAAGGATGAGGTGGAGTTGAGGAGTCACACAGCTGATTCTTCTATACTGGTTGCCAGACTGCAGCAGGGTGAACAGGCTGTGGCTGGGTGGGTATAGTCTTTTAGTATCCTGCGGGCTCTGTGCAGGCACCTCACCTCACCGATATCACTGATGCTCGGTAGATGGGTACCAACGATGTTCTGTGCAATTTTAATCAACCACTGCAGAGCTCTACAGTCCTGGGTCACATTCCATGCACTGTTCACAAACTAAAGCCAGAAGATTCCAGGATGAAGCCAAAATCTGGGCAAGTGGCCATGAATCAAAGCTCTGTGTCTTTCTCTTCAGTTGTCCCAGCAGTTGGACGGTCTGCTGGGCATGCTCTGTGCTGATGTGGCTCCAGCTGATGGAGCCTCCATTCAGCAAAACCTCAAGCTGTTGGAGGAGAAGCTGCAGACTGTCGGTTCGTGCTTTGAATGATAAATTTATATAATAACATCTTTTTGTGGGTTTTCTTGTGTTTATGTTTGTACATTTACATCTTTTAGACCCAAACAGTAACACATTGCTAAATGATTGGTGCAGAAAAGTTGAACTGTCTCCCCTCCGTACAGAGGCAGGTCTTGCTTCTCTACGTCAGAAGGGGGCGCTGTTGCTGGAGCAGATGTGCACGCAGCCTTCCTGGTCTCTGGAGGAAACGGAGAGTCCAGCTGGAGAACAACAGGAGAACGTTCAGCACATCCAGGCTGTGATGGAGGAGATGCAGCTCCGCAAGCAGAGGTAACTTTCTTCTTCTTCTATTTCTTATAACAGCAGAGTTTAGCAGCGATGCCTTGCCACACGGCTAAAGATGCTAATGTTGTTCTGGTCACTCTGGAATGAAACAGATTAAGTACTAGTCTACAACCACTGGTCAGATTTTCAATGTTAGGATCTCATTCCTGATCCTCAGAGGATGAACTGTTTAGATTTTGACCCCGTGGCCTTTCTTCTAGTGCCAACCTCAGGACAAACTTTCACTTTGAGTGAGACTCAAAAAATAGATGAATCAGTAGTATATCGTTTTGTTCTGTCCTGTGCTGCAGGTGTGAAGACATGGTGGACGTGAGGAGGCTGAAGATGCTGCAGATGGTTCAACTGTTCAAATGTGAAGAAGACGCTTTACAGGTAGGACGCGCAAGAACAACACATACAACAACATTCAACAACATTCCTGTATTGATAACATTTTGAGCTGTGTGTGTTCAGGCAGTAGAGTGGCTTGGCGAGCTGTTGGACGCCCTGTTGAAGACTCACGTTAGACTGGGCGACGAGTCTCAGGAGACGAGGACAATGTTGGACAAACACAGGAAGTTTGTGGATGTCGCTCAGGTGAGACACTTTCTGACTAATAGTAGCCATTTTATCTATTGTTAATGTAAAAATATTGATTAGAGCAGCTTTAAATAGTAGTTTTATTTAACAAATAGTTTTATTTTGTTATCTGAGCCTCCTATAGCTTATTATGGTCTAGTTTTGGCTCTGTGAGGCTTTACTTACTGTTGGTACGGAGGTGCTAAATGCTAACACCAGCGTGTTGACATGCTAAGAATGACATGCTGACGTTTGCCATGTTCACCATCTTAGTACATTTGCTATTGAGCACTAAACACAAATTACAGTTTAGGCTGATTAGTTTTGAAATCAAAGTATTGGCTAAGTTAAACTAGAGAAAAGGAGGATGCCCTAAAGATTTCATGGCACTCCTTCCAATAATTAGACATTTAAGTTTGTACCAACGTGTCTGACATGCTATGCCATAGAGTGAAGACTGTCAACTTGAGATGAAGATTGACAAAAAAATTCTGTCTTTTCCTTAAGAGCACCTATGATTACGGCCGTCAGTTGCTGCAGGCGACCGTCGTCCTCTGTCAGTCTCTGCGCTGTACGACACGCTCGTCTGGAGACACTCTGCCAAGACTCAACCGAGTCTGGAAACAGTTCAGCGTCAGCAGTGAGGAGAGACAACAGAGACTGGAGCTGGCTCTGAGCTTCCACACCGCTGCCGAGAGGGTAAGACAAGCTGAGAGACCTCACTGTAGTATTTGTCAGGTGTTGCAGCAGTAGCAGTTCGTGGGTGTGGAGACTAGAGCTTAATCTGTGCATCAGCGGGCCGATAGGATCAGCTGATGTTGGGTAGAAATTAACAATGGCTCAGTTGGTGCACTTGTAGAAGCAGCTGACAAAATCACAGCCCTTGCCACATGGGCGTTTAAAGTACAGATTTAACTTCAGTACTGTACGTGTGTTGTTGCTGTGTTTCAGGTGTTACAGCAGGAATGTGTGGACCCAGATTCTCTGGATGAAGTTGACTCTTCAGGAAAAACTCTGCTGGACAAACTGACCATGCCTGTTATCTTTCCTGACGGGTACACAAATCTGTTTTTGTCACTTTGGGGGACATTGCAATGATGTGCTTTCCCTGGAGACTTACGCTACATGCCTAGCCCCCAATCCTGTCCTTTAGCTGTGAACACAAGACTGACATATCATTACCTTATTCAGTTGATGTCAAACTTGTTAGCAAGCAGTTGCCTATTTACGCATCCAGCAGACAAACCGGGCATCATTAGCATTCATCTGGACTTGTGTGTCTGGTGGCCTGACAAGTATGAAACCAATATTCACTTTCTTGTAGCTTTGTTTTTGGTTTCTAAAAACTGCTGAGGGAAATGCTTGGCTCTGTAGCTGCTAAATGTTCTACTATGTTCATCTTGGAGCTGAGCAGGTAGCGCACAGTGGGTTTCTAGCTGTATAACAGAAAACAGCTGCTATGAGAGTGGCGAGAGTAAACGAAAACTGTAAATTAGTGGGTTGAATGGGCAACATTGGGTTGAAAGACACCTGTTATAACGCATGCCACATAACTGTAACACCCCTAGTTCATTTCCAACCGTTGCACCTTTTGTTGCATGTCATACCCCTCTGACAGGTTTCTGTGATTATTGGAAGTGCAACCAAAAACACGCGCACTTCATATTATCAAAAATTCCTAAGTCAAAGTGTTGTTGTTCCAGGAGCGAGCAGTACTTCGGGAGTCCCAGCGACACGGCAGCTGCAGCGGAGGCTGTCAGAGAGCGCCTCCTGCTGGTGGAGGAGCGACGGCTGCAGCTGCAGGAGGCGGGGGTCCATCACGAGGAGGAGGACGAGGTGCTAAACAGGCAGGAGGCACGGCTAGATGTGATTGGAGAGGAACTGAGCGAGAAAGAGGAGCAAGATGAGGAGGAAGAGGAGGAGGCGGAGCAGCAGCAGGAGGAAGACTTAGAGAGGGCTACGCAGGACTGCTAATGGCTTGCTGATGACGTTTAACCAGAGCAGCCTTAATGAAGCTCGTTAACGAAGGGCTGCTGATTGATTTCCACCGAAGCCTCTGACTTGTTCTCCCCAAGCCACGAAAGTCATCGTTTGGTAGCTTGTGTCTCACTGCGGCAGTAGATTTTTCTTCCTGATGGTATTTCTTTACATAAAGACGACATTTTCCATCAGCCTCACTGCTTATCCTGAAAGAGAACAAACATGTTGGTTGTAATCTATCCATAGTTCTTTCACACGGTGAAAGCTTTACCAATTTTTGGAGGACTGGAGCGCCCTGTGAGCTGTTAAGTGATCCCGCAGATTTCCATTCAAATCTCACCCACTGGATCGTAAATGTAAAATAATGGAAGTATTTAATGGAATAATTAATATTCATGTCTCTGGATGATCTGTGTTGATGACCATCAACTGTAAAATTATTTGTTTGGATAAGAATACTCCTAATGTACACCTAACACCGCCACCTCTTTCCCAGCATGCCACTTGTTCTACTAAGTGGGCGGAGTTTCCATGGTGCTATCATGTTTACCAAGGTTTCTGTCTGTGCCTCCTCCAGCTACCCACTAGATGTTACTTTTCGTTCATGTTATTTTGACTCCTGCTGAGTCATTGCCAGACACACACTCAGCGCTGTGTTCGACCTGCTATATACAAAGGTGGTATATGTGCAGTTATGCCATATTTTTGTCTTGTGTGTACTCTTCACACTCTCACTATGGTTCCCTTGTAAGTAATACAGTTTTATTTTTATCTTGGACTGAGAAATGTGGATGTACATCAGGTTTTCTGTTAAACTGGACATAGTTTTATCTTCGAGATCCCTTAAAAGCGTATTTTCCAGGTTTACTGACTGTTAATCACTTTGATACTGCGGCTGTTATTGTCCTAGGTTTGGAGCATTTCATAAATGTCTTTGCCGTCTTTTTCAAACCTCCGGCTGACTGAATGCACCGCACCAAAGGCAAATGCTGCCATCTACATGAAGGGAGAAGGCAAAATATGTAATATTTTGAGAGCGTGAATTACTACAGTTTGTACACAAATTATCTGTCCTAATTTGGGAATTTTACAGATTTGACCAAATAAATACACAAGTGGAAACACACACTAAGGAAAGACAAAAATTTATTTTAATTTCAGTGCGACTTCAAGCCCACTGATTGGACGTTGAAATGGTCTGTGGGACTTTTAGTCAACACAGTTGTAGAATTAAGGGATCCATGATGTTTATGTGCTCCGACCACTTCGCTGCTCTAAACAAAGCCTCTGCCTTCATGATGGATATCAGACCAGGGCTGCTTTCTCTGGTCCAGACTGACCACATGGACTGAGGTGACCTCTGAGAGCCCTGAGATTGGTGGTCATTTGCCAACATGGTAACATCAGAACAAGATGGATTCCTTGTTTATTTTTTTCCCAAGCAAACCTTGCTGTATTTGGTTGGTATATTTGACCATTACCTGCTGCTGTAAGTATAGCCGCTAAATACTACATCTTGCTTTTTGTCTTTTCCTTCAAATGGCATCTATAATGACATCAGTAAGACATCATCCTCTTAATAAAGAAGAGTTTTGAAGTTGCTGTCTATGATGGGTTTATTTATCTGCTTTTTCCCTTTTAAAGGAAACACAGCTACAAAGATTAACATACAACAGAGTAATTACAAAACATATCGAAAATGGCTGCCTGACAGAGCATCACTGAGTTACCAGTTTACTCAGTGTGTTTAAATGCACTTAAATAAGCATGTTACAATCTTTCTGCTATATTCAGATATTTTAAATGTCATGTATACAAGATACCTTTTTCCATAATCAGGGTAAGGGTTTCAGAAACATAAAAAAACCTATTAAGACTATAAGTACCTCTGAACAAAATTTCAGAGTAACACATCAGTCCCAACATTAGGACTCCCAATTTTTTGGTCCAAAGGCCTAGAAGTAGCTCTTGAATAGAGAGAAGTTAGATGCAGCCCAGAAGACTGAAACACTAAGATCTGCTCACAGTCAGTCTGCTACTGCAGGTAGAGCACCTTGTGTTTTAACTCTAAAACTGACATCAGAAACAGACTAAAAGCACGAACAGCTTCCTCAGCAAGGCATGGCTGGGGTTATTTGTAATGATGAGAAGAAAGAAACACTTTTGCCAAATACAGAGACAAATGGGTTTTTTTTCAGTGTTAAAAAGCTTTATTTAATAAACCTGGTTTATGTAGGTAGGTTTTTAACCACTTCCACATTCCCTATTTAATCATGGAAATATTTAAATTTATTATTCTACTGATCTTTAAATAGAATACATCATTACACGATACCATATATACTGACATCTGTACACTCATTTTTACACAGCAAGTCATGAACCCAGCAGAAGCACTCGATGTGGAACAGCTACCACTAGAGGGCGACACTGCAACTTAACCCACCCCTGACTGTTCAGTCATTTGCCATTTCAAGGAAATCTTCACTCTTGGTTGAAATACAAATTTATATGATGACAAATTAAGTCAATGATAAGTTAAGTAATCTTGTTAAACTGTCATGAAAGTATAATTTTTGTTCTTCAATTCATCCAGGAGCTTGAATGGATTCACTGGTGTGGTGATGATGTCTATGTAGCAGAGCTACAGAGAGGAGATGATGCACGAGGTGATAGACATCTTTAAAATGTTCGTTAACAGTGCAGGTCATCGCCGGGACTCTTTGTCCAAAAGGTCTTTGGCCTCGTTGATCTTGGCGGCGAGATACGGTGACCCACCTGCGCACACGCAAACACGAGTTTTAGTCCTTTGACACAATTTTCAAACGTCATTTAATATTAATCCCGTGACCCTGTACGCAGGATAAGCGGTTGACGATGGATGGATTTAAAATTAATACTGAGTTCTATAGGAACCATCGCCCAACTTGTGGCACATTTCACTATGTGAAGTGATAACTTCACCATTCACAAGCTTTGTGGTAAGGGCTGGGTGACGGGGGGATAGGGCATGGGGTTTCCCCAACAGTGTCAGTGCTCAAATGAGGAGTTGGGCATAAACCATTAAAAAAACAATAAATGCAAAATTTCATTACCTTTACCTGCTCTTTGATGATATGTCTCCTTCTGGTACCAAGCCTAGGCTACACACTGTTTTGTTTCTTGTTACGTGCACAGTAAATTGTTTGGGGATAATGGGTGTTACTTTGTATTATGTGATCTTCTGATGTAAAACATATTGTTTTTACAGTACAGACAGGTCAGAATGTATATTCAGTATGTGTACAGGTCACAGTTTATGTGATTGTTGTAACTCAAGACTGCTACTATAGCCAACTTCCATCTGTCATATTATTTACTAAAAAACTAAACATACTGCGACAAATGGATTTTCTGTGATTGACAGTTTACACATTCTAGACCGGTGGTTCTCAAACTTTTTCACATCAAGGACCCCTATACTGACACAAATTAGACCACGGACCCCCATTTGATAATACTTTGTCCCAGGGTTGCACATCTGATAGGATTTTTTGCTTTAGGAAGTTTTTATTACAGAAAGTGTAGAAACCTGCGACTAAAACACTCTTACATTCTGACATTGTGTTCCTCATGGATATTATCTCCCCCACAAGAACCACACTTTGAGAAACACTGTTCTTGACATCTGACTTTTGCCTTACCTTTATCTGGATGGTTCAGGACCATGATCCTCCGATGAGCCTCACGTACCTTGGCCTTAGTGCTGGTTGGACTGGACATGACACAAAAAGTACATCCATGTGAGCAATCGTAACTTTCCTCTGAGCACAGACACACACTAAAGGACTGTACTTAATACAGAAATATTAACTACAACACATCTTATTACCTGATACCAAGAACGAGGCTGGCCTCTCGTTTGGACATCTTCTGCTCAAAACCTCCTTTGTAATATGATGAGAAACCCTGTGGTGAGAGAAAAGGATTAGAGCTTTGATTCTCAAGCTATAGCTATGATATCTCAAGTGTTTCTTTGAACCATCTACAACTACTAGTTAAGTTCGGGTTCATTTAATGCTGCAGTTGTTCAGCCTCAAGTCAGGATGAACCTTAAGCCACGTCCATATTCACACCTAGCCAATATTCTTTGACCTGATTAATATTCCAAAGAGCAATACTATTTTAAAAGCTTCAGATATGAACTCACTTAACAGTCAGATGCATAATAATAAGAAGGTGCAGACAAATTTGCAAATGATACAGATCAAACAACTGAAAAGTGAAATGTAAAATTCAGCAGAACAGGACTGGATATGAACATTACTACAGAGGCATAGGAGGTTAATTGATTACTCACTGATGTTGGCATCTTCTTGACAGTTTCAGAGAAGACTTGTCCAAGAGGCTTCCACAGGTGGAATGCATAGCGGCCTGTGGATTAAACACAAAACACATGAAACAGTTTGCAAACGTCCAAATGAAAAATCTGTAAAGAAAATTTCGCTTGCTAAAGAGAAAGCAGGCAGAGCGACAATTTTAGGATTCTGAGTGATAGTAAACAAACCGTAAAAGTACTGCTGCACAAGCTTATCCAGATAATATTATCAAACTACTCTTACCTGCAAACCCTGCAGCTGCCACACCAAGACCGACTGCAATCAGAGTCCCTCCCTGTAACATAAAACAAAACATCCAGCAGTTACCACACTGGGTTGGATGTGTAGCTAACACAGCTACTCAAAGATATGTGTGGCAGCTACAGTATACCCCATGTGATCCACTGTGGAGAGATCAGCAAACCAATCTCCACTAAAAAACTGTTTGATATCTGTTTGCCAGTGATTTGTTTGATGCTGTCCAATTCAGGTACTCTGTGGAAAAGTAAAATTTAGTAAATGTTACGTTAATAAAAAGGAAGTCAACTGATGGAGTCCCATTGCATCAATGTATTGGATACTTAAATTAAATAAACTGGACAAAAAATTATTGGATAAAAAATTAAATAAACAAAACTGTGATATATAATGAATGGCCTTAAAAGCCTCAAACTTGTATTTGAACAATTTCTAATGGAGGATTCTAATTGTGAAGATTGAGATGTGAACTACAAGAATTTGGGACGATTTTACAGAGCAAAGTACTCGAGCATCACATTTCATTGTACGTCGAAGAGTGCCATCACAATTTTGGCCTCAACGGTTCCCAAAGCACCATACTGATGCTTTGTGTTTACTGACTTACTAGTTTAACTCCTGATTATCTTATTTCAAATAAGTTCTAAGTATAATTTTACATTTAGGACGATTGAGCAGCCCCATAAAGTACAGTCTTGCAGAAACTTCAAAATTATGAATACTAAACCAGTTTTCCAGAATGTGTGCCATAACATAAATAACTACAGCCCATAAATGTACATATCCAAGCTTCCCTATGAGAATAGCAAATTATCTGTCACAGTAGATTTTTGTCGAGTCTTTTCCATCCAGGTCAGCTCATCATTCTTTTACATCATTAGTAGTAAAAACACATCTATCAACGCTGGTAGACTGCAGGACGGGCACCTTGTGTTGTTGTTGCTGTGTGTAACGTTATGTCATGAAGTAACCGAGTATTTACACGTGCTGTGTCATAGGAAGTCGTGACATTGAAGTTGTACCTGCAATTTGAATACACATCATGAAGTAATACATGTTAGTTAATTAATTACTAAGGTTACTGTGGACTTTCAGTCAATTCAGAAGAAGAGTGCTAGTCTTTGGGTTTCCCACTCGAGACCAGCTAGTTAACGTTACAGTGAATATTTATGTTTATGTCAACTGTCTCCTGCGGCTTGAACGGTTAATAAATATTGTCCAGAAAGCTAAAGGATATCGAACCACCGTTCAGCGTCAGAGCAAAACCCAAACCCCGGTGCTGACTTCAGCTAGTTAGTCAACGTTAGTTAGTTAACGTTAGTTCACCAGCTTATGCAAGAGCGGTGACATTAACGTTAGCGGTCATTGAGGAACCTATCACACAGGGACAAAAAACTGCCAGGTTTAGTTTGACTGGCTCCACAAATGACTTCACTGTAAAAACAGATACTAACCAGCCGTCTGTCTATGTCCGTGTCGCTCCTCACGGTTGTTTTAGGAGTGTATTCAGCATATCGCATGTCATCTACGGTCACTCCACCGTTCGCCATGTTGCCTCAGCTACGAACGTCACGTCGTCGTGGTAACACACACCACATCCGGCTACAACTTTCAAAATAAAATTAAACTACCAATAACTTCCTTTCTACTTTGCAACATCCCTGAGGCCTTCTGACACTCGTATCAAATATGTCAATAACTGGCTTACTTTGAATTCCCTTTCCCATCTGGTTTCTTGATGGCAACAATATTACCTGGAAATAATCCGTCAATGCTACCAAGAATAAATTTTAGACAAAAAACAAACAAACACTCAAATGGTTAAAGATAAAAGGAGAGCCACTCTTGATCCTGGGAAACATTAACTAACTCTCAACTTTACATTCATTTTAGGCTTCTGGCAAAAATAAACTTATTCCTCATGCTTGAGAATGTTGCCACCATCAAAGTAGGCCTAAGCTACTTCAAACTACATCATTTTGTAACAGTCACTAGAGTTAGGAAAACGTGTGTTGTGTTTTAAAATCACCAAGCCAAGGCCAAGGTTGAAATAATTGCCATTAGGTAATAACAAGAATACTGCAACTGTCAGTGATCTTGTGTGACTCTTTCAGAAACATCACTCCATCAACTTGAAACCCGTAAATTAGACAATTTTCAATTTGAAAGAAAGAAAAACATGGGACCTCATTTGAGAATCCACCACTACTTTATTTATGTCTCTGGACAGAAAAATCTCAGTTCTGTTTTGGAGCTTTTGAGTATGTCACATTATCAACATGTCATGGGATTGTTGTTGTTCAAATTTCTATATTCTATTTCCGAGCATTTGTTGTTATAAAAATTGAGCTTCAAACCAAAAGTTCCAGAGCAGCTAACTTAATGCCTCGTGTGTGTGACTGATATTCATTGGGATCTTCATTCTGGTCCAGAACAACCCGTTGCGGTTTCATGTATATGACACTAGATGGAGCCATTGAAAAGTGAACCGTGTCCTGTCGCGTTAACGTGTGTTGCATAGAATACCAATGACCAACGAACATTATTCAACATGTCTAAATTTAGTGTGTTGTACTGGAAGTTAGCAATATTTTCTATATTTGTGTTCACATTTGTGCTTTACATTTTTATTAGTACAATTGTATTTGTTTATATTTGCTTGTACTACTTTTAATACTGCTAGGCTTACATCTAATATATTTTCTTATTTAAATTTGCTTGTATGTTGTGGTTAGCTGTCATACTTTTATATGTTTTTTATTTGCATTTGAGCTTGATATGTGTTTGTATTTGTGTTTCTCTTTGTACTTGTATCCGTGTCTGTGTACAGGTGTACTTTGTGGCCCTTGTGGACCCTCGACATTATTAGGGGTCCAGCAGGAGTCTCGGAGCAGGGAGCAGCGGCTCAGAGGAGCTGATGGAGTCCCGAGCCTGGAGCTGGTTTCTATTGTCCCCAGTAATTGGATTTGGTCTGGGTGGAGAGATGGCTGCCAGTGAGAGGCTGCGATCATTAGGTGTGAATGAGATGTGTGGTGCCAGGGCTGAACACACACACACACACAGATTGGTATTGTGCTGTTCAGCGGAACCCAAATATAAAAACTGCTGTGTTTTGTTCTTCACCCCCATATAATAATGATAAATTATATAGCCAAACACACGGCAAAGAGAGATGTTTCATGAAGCAATATGGTCCTGGTCAGGTAAGTTTGTTTTAAGGCAGTGGTTTGTCAAGTTTTTCTCCACTGCAAGTAGCTGGACTTATTGTAAATGCATTGGTATTTTGAATGTGGCCATATGTGTTTTGGGGGAGTGGCTTTGGAGGGAGGCCTGGGATTTTTTTCAGTTGGATCCTTTCAAAATCTAGCTGTCTCTTGCTAGTCTTTACATGTTGCCTACCCCAGCTTTAAAGCTGTCCACTTCTGATCGGATCAGAAATGGAAAAGCATTACACCGCAATGCTTTTCCATAAAGGATGTGTTTACAGTCTGTCTTAAAATGATAGTCAGATGCCCACATGAACATTGACACAGCCTTTTATAGACACAACACGTCATTACGTGGGTGTCTTTCCAATTTAAAATCTCTGAAGTACAACATTTCCCTCCACTGCAGCTCAACAGGTAACACCGGAAATACAAAGAGAGAGTTTTATACTAAAAAGACTTGATTTGTTTAACTCGGACAAATGTTATCTTCAGATAAACTTTGGAATATATTTTTGCACAAAATGAGGACTGTAGATTTTGTCCTACCACTTACAATGAAAGCAAGTTGAAGAAGGAATCTTTTAATGGCCAGTATGAACAGGGTTAGGTTAATTACAGCAAGCAAAACCAGTTTCAAGGCTGTCTTAAAGTGTTGTTTCAAGACAGAACCTACCTTCTAAGCAGTAATGACAGCAGCACTCTTTCTCATGAATAAATACATTTATAGTAAAACAGTTGTGTCAAAGTGTTTTGCTCCTATTAAACCTCAGTTCATGTAAAGATTTATAATACAGCAGTACACAGGTTGCAGCAGAGGAGAGCAGATTATTTGCATATAAAACAAATAACCTGTGTTCTTGTGTGTGCATATCCAACTTAATCTCAGCGAGGGAGAAACATTTACTGAACACGCGCAGTGTTTCCACGGGAACCAAGCAGCCACTCTGCTCTTCAATAGCGGGTGAGTGAGTCGAGGTAGATGACTATTGTGTTGTGTGTGTTTGGGGGGTCGGGGTGGCGGTTCGAGAGGGGTTGGGGGGGCAATACTAAACAAGGCACTAGATAGATGAAAGCTCTGCACATCCTTAAATCTAATCATAATTTAGTCATCACTAGAAGATGGTATGATCAAAATAAATAAGGAAATAGGCAAGACTGACAGGACAGAGAGAGACCTGAGTGCGTGAGCCAAGGAAGCGAAGGGGAACATGAGATTGCTGTTTGATGGAAAATGATGGAGCAGAGATGGTCTCATTCCTAAAGTTGATGCTTATTTGTTGCATCAATCCCTGTATCCAAGCACTTAGCCTGAAAGGATTTCAAAAGCACGGACACAGCTACACTGCTGCAAAGACAGTGGACAGTGGCCACACCCACCCATACCTGGCCTCCATTCATCTCCTTTGTATGTGAAATTTTGACAAATCAAATTACAAAAGCTGAATGGAAATGGCAAGTAAAAAGGCCAAAATGTAATTTGAACATTTTTTTGTTCTCACCAAAAGCAGGAAATTATTTGTCCAGGTAGAAATTCTGTGTTGAATAGAATGCATGTCAAATACTGGAGGATGTGCTGTCTGGATTTACTTGCTTTTGCTAAACATGTTCCCAGAATGAACAAACCCTGAACAAAAATAAAAATCAGCAGATTTATATCGGAGATATGTAGGACCATTATCCTGCAACAATGCTGCAGAGAGAGCAACATGGTAGAGTAGCCCATTAGACCGTCCTGGCCCTCCTCTCCTTCACCGGGGAGAACTTTTGAAACAAATTCAGACAAAGAGTGTTCATAGAAAAGAGGAGGAGGAGGCCCAACTGGGGTTTTCCCTCAAATGGGCTTTTGAAAGCTGATATTTCTTGGTCTCGAGCTGCTGATAATTAAATTGACCCTTTTCCAAACAAAACATCCAGAAAATGTCACTTCCTTCAGTATTTTATTTTGAACAAATTACTTATACCTGTGAAACAGAATTTATCTTTTGTTTTGGGAACAAATTTTCTCAATTTTACGGCCAGTTTTAATATTTGGTATAGTATTAAATAAATACATCCTATGCATTTCATTGTTTCATTTCATTTTCCAAGACCAGGCCCATTACCCCTTTCTTCGGATGGGGAGAACCGAGCTATCCAAATGAGAATATCGATGATTTGGCAGGAATCTGGATTTTTTGGTTCTTTGAAGCTCTTTTAAAATCCATCTGGAACTAGAAGTCCTGGAGCCCAAACATGATAAAGTGCAGCTTATTGACAGCAAGCTGGATCATGACAAAAAGTTTTCGGGTAAACCCCATACATGAACTAATTTTCAAATGCAAATGATGGTCTTAATTAGATTAGGCAATTATGATTTTCGAAGTGAACATGCAGGTTATTGACAAATCACTATGAATTGTTGATGTGATTACACTAAAAAAAGTCAAACCGTTTAACGTAAAGTAAGTAAAGTATGTAAAACAAAATGCAGGAACCCACATAAAATGAGATTTATGTCCATTAATCTATTGCCCCATTGCATGCTGGGAGGGTTCACACCTACTTCGTGTGATTTCAACTCTCTACTCATGTTGTCCTAATTTTAAGGTAAGAGCGAGATGTTGCTCAAGATAACTTCATCTGGGTTCACCAAATAACCTTTTATCTGGATGAGAATTAACAGGATAATTTTAGCCTGATAACAGCATTGTGGGTTGGATTAGTTAAACCGCGTTTGAAGCACAGGACCCAGGACCGGTTGAACCCACAAGGGGGCCTCGGGCAAAAATATGTTGTGTTCCTGCTCAGTATTCAGCACTACCTGGCTCCATGTTCACTGTGTTTTGGTTAGTGATACTAAACACACTTCATAGCAACAGATATAGTATAAGGATGACATCCAAATAAGACCTAATAAACTTCAACTTAAAACTAGATTCTGTCACAGGCCACTCGTCACGATGGGGCTTCAAGATTAGGTAAAAAGCAGAAGTGGCCATAGTCCCTTAACATTTCATTTATTTTTTTCTAGTTTGCACACAAAACAAATTTCACCTATTTAACCATGGCCTTTGGGGTGCAGCAGTGCAGAATACAAACTCCTGATTTACTTTTAACCTGCCAACAGATCTAATACATATCTAATACAGGTCCAACCGATGAAACGGCATGTCTATAATATTGGAGTATATTCACCAATACACCAATATGTTTTTTTAATAAAAGTCCTTTATTAACCCTATCAATCCAGCCCTTGTTGTAACACAGGAGGAGAATTACTGTGTCTCTCTTGAAAGATGTTTCTCTCTGTTGGCCTGACACTGGGTGCTGGGGCAGCTTCAAGTAGCCCATTAGGGGGAAACTATTCTCCACCTCTGCTTTGTCCTCCACTCTCCGTTCCTCTTCCCATCTTGGTCAGATTTGTCTGTAAAGACGTGTATCACAACCTTTCTTTGTGAGACGAAATAAATGCACCACCTCTTGCTATCAACTGTGGTACTGATAATGCCTTTTAAGGATTTTTAATCCCATTTGATGGTTATGAAAATAATAGAAATGTGTATAACATAATAGCCTTAACACAGAACCCATTAGTGAGAGACAAAGAATGGGTGTTGAGGAAATTTAAAAAGCTCACAAAATTTGGTAAAACTTTTTTGATCCTTGTGCATTCTTTGTGTCATTATAACTACAGAGAGCAATGAAATATAGAACAAAACAAAACACAACACTTGGCTTAGCGTATTTCCATCATGTCATGAATGAAATTGTCACTATGAAATTGAACAATCATTTTACAAATTGCTATAAAGGAACAAAGCCACACTCCAGTATGTTTCACTGTAATAACAAGATAATGATATTGTATTTAATAGTAATGATTTTAATGTGACAGGGGCTCATAATTGGATGTTGCATGTGTACACAGCTACAATATCTCACTTCTCACATGTGTACAGTATATGTAACCAACTGAGAATGATCCTTACTGTTAACCTGATTACATTTTTGGAGTAAATTTTGGATTTGCACCTAGTTAATATCTTATATTTTATGTTTGCTTTCTATATATTTCCACTCTTTCCAAGTTTGTACAGCAACTACTGCACAACAAATTCACTCCGGATAAATAAAGATCTTCGTTATCATGTTTTGTTTGTCTTGTGTGCCTTAATAATTGTAACATTATGTGTTTTAAAAAAAGATTAGTTTGATTTTCTTTTTTCTTATTTTGAGAATTGCATTTTCTGGGCAAAAAAATAAAAAGGGAAAAAGAAACATGTGACGCATAATATGTGACTATTTACTGGTTAATTCAAATACATTTCTGCATATGTATTAGATTTTTATAAAATATCATAAGGACTTCTATATTGTGTTGACTGTTACAGGTTTTTTTTGAAAAACTGTGCACACTGTATACTGTAAAATGTACAAACGTTACACGGAACCTTTATTCAGTAGCCTCAGTTGCCTCAGAGGACATTATAGCTGACGGACTGTCAAAATGACATAGTGGTAAACACAGTAAGGTGAGTCTCGATTGATTTTTTACAGCTTGTTATCGGCACCCGTTTCACCACAAGCCAATACCAGGACGGATTCACTGCTTCATGATGGTTATGACTTGAGTGAGTGAGCAGTTTTAATTTGTATTAAAGTGACATTGCTCAAGGATGGAGAGAGGCTAGCGTTAGCTGCTAGCTAACTAGCCCCGGCTCACTTCCCATCAGCTGATGATAAAAACAGGCCTAATTCAGTCAGTGTTCAGAGCAGTTAATCGAGTTTATATAGGTACCAATACACAGTATGTGGGTCGTGATAAACAGGACGTATAAGCGAGGTAGAGTATGTAGCAGGTTAATGTACCTGCCGAAAGGCTGACCGTGGCTTCACCTTTGTTTACTGCTGAGATGCTGACTGACAAAAAGGGACAAAGGCAAACACACACAAACAGCAGCCCAAAGGCTTGAATCCGGGTTTAAAAAAAATAATTTATGATTGCTGCTAGGTTTATTAAAGTCAAAATAGGATCATTGTGTAGCTGCGGACCAGTGATACATTCAAAGTCTTCTTGTAAACTTTCACTTTCACTATGTAACAGTTACATATTGACGTTAAAGTTTGTCATTCCTGCTATTAACAACTAACACCAAAATTAAGTATCATTGTACTCAAGGCCAGGATATAAAATCATAAAAACACCTAAATTGTATTGTGGCCTTAATCTGAGTGTGACTTCAGATAACGTGCATACTACATGAAGCAAGATATGAATACATATACTTATGTATTCATATCTTTCAATGCTACTTATACACATATGTGTAAAGTAGCATTGAAATGGTTGAGTATTTCTGTGAACCAGTGAGGAATTATTTTGTGCAAGTGTTGGATGGCTGTAGGATGTTCAGCAGCCTGAGAGTAAGAATTAAAAATACACATGCATACATGTATATGAGCTTGTATTTAGTTAAAAGGCAGAATGAATTGTACTGCTTCAACCTGAACCGTCTAACCCTAACCCTCAGAACAGCATAAACAAACCTTTGTTTTGGAAAGTGGAACAGGTTGGGTATCTCTTCTTTTGAAACCCTTTTAAACTTTCTTTTAGGTACAGTATATTTCAGGCTTCCTTCATTAGAACTAGAACTCATTATTTTAGTTTGATATAAAATACTATCATACTATACTATTTGTAGCTAAACAGATGTAGCTTTGTCACAGGCCCCTGACTTGCGGTCCACCTTTTTTTCTCAGTGGTTTGAAGTATACTATATTCAAACAAAATGGAAGTTCAGTCTGATTAGCAGGCCAAATTAGATGTAGCATATGTAATGTACACATGTGGGCAATAGTGTAGGAGAGTGAAACTTGGGATAAACATTCACTAAATAAAAATCAATCAAATCAGTACTTGATTTATTGATATTTCAGCAGTTCTTAGTGATGGCCACTGTCTCCAGGTCTGTTTTTTTTTAGAATTTTCTTCAAAAATCATCATTTCAAAGAGAATCGCTTCATGCTTTGTTCTTGAGTTTCAGTCATTACTGATCAAAAAGTGTTATAATCTGTTCTGTACTGGCTAATGTTGGCGGCATTGGCTCGGCAGCATGCGTGAGTCAACAGGAGTTCAGTGGGATGACGAAGCTCAGTTAGGTCAGAGCTCTATCTGCAGGCAGGTGATGTCATGGTAAATATGTTAGTGTATGATCATAGAGGGTATTAGTGTAAGTGATCAGTATTACAGTGCTGCCCTTGCATTTTTGTAACCAACGCAAAATTGAAAGGATGAAAGTCAGAATAGTTTTGAATAGTTTGGGCCCCTTTTTTATCATCCTGACACACACACACAAACAAACTGCATTGCTAACGATATGTCATCTAGAGATTAGTGTAAATTTTTGTTATCATATTTTCACCTTTTTTCTCTCAATTTATCTAATGAAATTGAACTGGAAATACATTTTAGATTGACTGAATTAAATCAGAAATTGACTGTGATTTAAATTGTGAAAATGGCAAACAGTTGTGTGGGTCAGCAGTGTAATGTTAAAACTGTTTACCAGCTCTGAATGTCTGTGTGCTATACAGTAGTGGACTGTACGGTCTTACTTGTGTGAGCATAATGCAAATAAGTTAATGAATGCCCAAATAAGAGCATTAAATTGACCTCTGTATCATAAATACTCAATTTCACGACTATTTCACGGCACGACTACAAGTTCAGTGATGTAATGACCTTTAAATAATTCATATGAAGAGAAAAGTAAAACAGACTGAGCTGTGGAGAAGAAGAAAATCAATGAGGGCGAGAGAGCACAAATGGTAAAGAAAGAGGTTTATATATATATATATATATATATATATATATATATATATATATATATATATATATATATATATATATATATATATATATGAGAGAGAGAGGGAGGAGTGAAGAGAAACAAAGCAGACAGGCGGTCAGCCAGATGGATGGGAACCCCACCCAGGCTTGTTTCCTCACTGCCTGCTCAGTGCAGTGATAAGCAGCTGATGAGGAAGTCAAGTATTATTTTATCAGGACATGAGAAGGAGGATGCTCATTTCTGTTTGCTGAGGGGGGATCTGTGAAGCTCTGGCCTCAGTGTGATGAAGATACTGAAGGTGGGTAGGTAGTTTGATGCTTAAAGTTGTTAAACTAGAGGCTTCATTATCCCCTTATCTAACTTTTCTGTTGGCAAAACCTTACTTGAAATTTTAAGTAAGGTCCTGGAACGCGATTTGATTTATATGTAAATGAATCTCAGTGTTCGTACTGTCAGCCTTGTTTCCATTCTTTGTGTTTGTTCCGCATGCTTCCTCTTAATTAGTTCCTCTTTCTCTCTTCCCTATTTTACAGTGAAGCCACAAAACATCTCCATCCGATGACCTCACAGCCACCCGATGGGCCAAAAGAACACAAATGATAAAGTTGATGGTTAATTTCGACATCATCTACTTCCCTGAACATTTCAGTCTGAGCAGAGAGATTTACAGTGTTTTTTCTTGCCCTACGTGTGTCTTTCTGGCTAAGGAACGTGGTTTGCCACCCAAATTGGCTCAGTCTGTGGAGTCCCAGGCTACTGCCAGTCCTGTTTAGCTCTGGCATAAAGCCTCAGTAGCTCTCCCCTGAGAAGTAGTTTACTCCCCCCCCCCCCAGAGCTAGTGGCACACCATTGCAAAGGAAGACCGTAACCCTGGATGAAAGCCCTGTCTTGAGGGGGAGAGTTTGTGAAGCCTGCAGGGTGCTTGGATCTTCCTCACCCCTTCTTAGCTTGTCAAACTTTGACCAGCCGAGAGCTAGTTTGCTTTGTTGGACATGTAGATGCTGCTAACGGGGTTTTTGTGCCCATTTAGGAAGACCATCTAGTTGTGACACTTATAGCTCAGAGGACGGCCCATCCATGGAGGGTCTCGAGCAGCTTGACATGGTGGGCGATATCAGCCCCGCTCTTGAGGCCACTGAGGACTTCATCCACTGCATGGATCGGATTCAAGGCCAAGGGCCGAGCCAAGCTCAAACAGGGACCCTCCAGCCTTCCAGGCAGCCTAAGCAGCTGCAGGAAGTATCCAGCGCCGCACTGGGGAAGCTGAGCTCCAGCGGTGTGTGGAGCCTGCTGGCTGGAGAGCAGCCAGAGGTCGGGCCTCTAGGCCTGGCCTGGGCTGACAACTTCAGCATGTTGGGGCTGGGAATGGGCTTGAGGCATGGCAAGAGAAGCCGAGCCCGCTCCACCAACGACCTTGCAGCCCACACCAAGGAGTGCACCAACAACACCGCCAACTCCTCGTCCAGCGCAGCCTTTAAGAAGGGACACAACCGGTCCAGGTCAGACGTCAACTACCGGCCGTCTGCATACACAGACAACGGACTGCCCACTGTGGACTGCAACACTCTGAAGAACATGATCCTCAACCACCAGCAGGATGGTGAGTTCATTTCCACACTGTGAGTCTCTGTGATATGATGTAGAAAGCGGTTGTTATTGAATGTGTGAGTCCAAATCGTTCAGGCGATGATAGAGCTGCAAAGATTAGTTGATTGATCAGTTATTTGAAAATTTAAAGGCAACAGTGTGAGAATGTTTGGGTTTTAGACAGTTCATCAGGCAAAACAAACATTAGTCAGGGCTATCAGGACATCCACTGGGCTCTGGGAAAGATTAATGGTAGTTTTTCCACATATTTTGTCAATTAAATGATTAATTGAATAAAAGATCCACAGCCAAATTTATTATGAAAATAATGTAACTATGTGGCGTTGACATTTTGCACTTTTATTTTTGGGTACATAGAAATATAGCTACCTTTATACCTAATTACATGCAAAGAATATTTATTTAACATCCAATTTTTATTACTACTTGTATATTTTACTTAATGCTTATACTGTACAAATGTAATAATAATTAGTAAATTATTATAATTACTATCATAATAATAATAATAATAATAATAATAATAATAGGTTACATGTGCTTTAAAGTTAAGTTATATTACCCAAAATAACAATATCTCTGTATCACAATATAAAATGACATACTTTATACTGTGGTACTGAAATCCTAAAATATTTTCTCCCAGTGTGCATAGATCTACTCAGATATTACACATATTGACTCACAGTAAAACAGGCAATATTGGCAGTAAAACAAACCTCTACTCTGGATTATCCAGAGAAAATAGTAGTTTCTCTAAAAAGACATGCTGCTGTTGAGTTTTTTTTAAATGCAGCTTTTTAATATGGGCACCACAAACAAAACTTCATTAACCTCCATTATATTGAGGTGGTGGCAGAGTCTCAGCAGCATAAATATCAAGACCTTGAGAATAAAACTACTATCTGCAAAGCCATCACTTAAGATAAGTGAAAAAATATATGTTTTTGGTTGAAGGAACCCTTTAATCATTGGATTTGCCTAATTGGGCATTTGTGACAGGAAGAGTCGTTGTTGCTTTGACTAGTTAAAGATGTCATGTCCTCTGTTGACCAACTCAGTAAACCTGATGTGATTCTTAGCCAAGAGGCTGGTCCCTACCTGTCAGAAACATGCACACCTCCTCCTCCTCTCCTATGATCGACCCCCTGTTCACTGGAAAGCTTTCGGCTTGCTGCAGATCGGGGCGTATGCTGTACTTATGTTGAAGCATCCTTAGAGAAAGCAATAATGATAGAAGATGATGATAACTTGAAATGACACAGCTGTGCTATGACAGTCAGTACTCAGGCAGAGAGCCCAACACACACACACACACACACACACCACACCACACCACACCACACCACACACACACACACACACACAGCCGCACACACCGTTTGTTTGTGTGTTTTGGCCATCTGAAGGCCTAAGGAGATCCTAAGGGATCCTGAGGGATAATAGCCTGTAATCCTGTCAGCAAATGGACTCAAATGAGGCGAGAGAAGAGGCAACCCAATTACCCGGCCCCTGATACTGGCAGGATTATTTAGTATTAGCATATGTGTGAAAAGGCATCAGGCTATTTAGCTTGGCTGGATGTGCATTGAAAGGAGAGAAGTAGGAAAAGGATGATAATAAGCAGAAGGCAGAGTGATTTAGCTGAACCTCGCTATGTCTCTTCATTCACATTGGAGAAAAAAAAGAAAAAGTAGCTTGTTTGCCTTTCCATTAGTGACAGCTGGGGATGTTTAGATGGTAAATGGAAATGATGACCATTACAATATACACAATACACATGTGTACAGTATATGGGACCAAACAGGCTGTATGTGTAGCTTTTATTAAAGCTCTCTAATGTTTTATAACATTGCCCACTGAACTCTAAAGGCTTCCTGTTGAGTCTTGTAAATAATAGGTACATTTTTGGTTGCACATTTTGTTGCAAGCATTCCTCAATAATTAGATTATTCATAAAAATACAAGGTCTGGGCAAGAAAACACATTTTCAGATTCTGAACAGGCTCAAACATAATAATAAAAAGAAGATATACATATAACAGAAAACTGCTTTTAATATGAAAATATGCTCCTGTCCTGGCAGATACAGGATGCAGCAAGTTTGACCACCAGAGTTTCTTTGGTCCGTGTTTATTAACTGCAAATAGCCAATGAACATGTTCCCTGACTAAAGATCGAAAACTTGCTGAACAACACATACTGACTCACTATGTGTGTGTGTGTCTCATTTCAGACAGTCATCCAAAGAAGTTCCACCGGTCTATTTATGTATTTTAGCTTCTGCCTCTCAACTATAATGATCTCGGTAGAATTTCCTCTGATTTGGAAATTTTAGGTTGTCTCATCATCATCATCATAGTTTGCAGTGACTAGAGCCAATCTGCTTCTGTTCACGTTCATTTGTTTATTTCTGTTGACATTTTTGCATGCATTCATGCTTCCTCTTCCTCTGTATCTCCTTTCCTGTTGTATCTGAACTCACTGTAACACATCATTCACATCTCCCCCCCCCCCCCCTTTCTAAACTTGGGTATTTACCACTGTATTTACTGACTCGCACAGACACACACACTTGTTGACTGATGTGTAAGTTCTTACACCTCTAACGTGCCTGTCCGTAGAAATATGTTTGTCTTAGACTGGCTACCTATCCTGTGTGTAACCCTACTCTAACTCTCACCAGTGCATTCTGGGATAGCTTCTGCCCACTGTGCACCACAAACAGGATAAGCACTGTGTTGGTGTACCCGTGTGTGCCTGCAGGTTCCTTCTCCTGCTGTTTCCTTTGCAGTCTGTGTCCAGGAAACTGAGGGAGTCAGTTAGATTGTAAAACGGCACATAATATTATGATTGGGTACCTAATCAGTGGGTGAGTTTTCTTGTTTAAGGCTAAAGCAGAGCATCTTGATTGACTTGAGGGCAGCAGTCCTGGATAATTGATTTGCAGAGCTGAGAGAAAAGTGTCAATTCTGGTTGAAGGCTATATTAGACTACCACTGTAATGTGATGTCAAAACCTACGAGGAGGCGATGAAGGCTAATTGAACAGAGCAGTTTTCCTCTCCACAATGCCTAATTCTCATCTCGACCCTCCCAAGCGTGAAGACTGCCAATCAGCCAGACTTGATTCCAGCTAAACTTATTTGCATATTCATTTGTTCCTTTAGCAAAACGTTTGTTAAAATGCAAAGTCCGAGACCCAGAGTGACACCATGTCTACTGCTGTTTTGATAAGATTGATGAGGCACTTGACTCGCTGACGTCTAGTTAACAGGAGCTGTGAAGGATTTAGCGTTACCTTTTTTCCTCTGTGAGCGATTTAGCACTTTAAAGACATAAAATGCAATATCTGCCAATTAGACTGCCACTGGTGGGGGTTTACAATCAAATCAGTATGCGGGATTGGTTTAGCGGACGGGAATAGGGGATTGTTTTATTTTTAAGTAAACCTGTAAGAAAAGGCTGAAATTTTTTGACATTTTGTTTAGATGTCTAGGTTACATCTAACCATGGTTCTAACAGCATTTCGGTAACTATTTCAATGTGGAGCATCCTGACTACATATTGAAATATAGTAGATAAAATACTGTCTAAATAATGATTGTATACAACTAAAAACTGTTCCCTTTATAACCAAAATGTATCTTAGTCTTAATTTTAGATGTGTACATGTCTTTTGACTTCCAAATCACCAACTTGACAGCTAATAGAATAGGTCACAGTTGATCAGTCCTCAGTCTTTGCTGCCCCATCTTAAATCCTTCATTCATCTGTTTGTTTCTAGTTTTATACTATAGCTTGTTGTTTTTGTTGGCCTGCTTTGTGTAGCAGGTGCTTCTCTCTCTTCCTCTTTCTAGTGGAGCTCCATATGGTTGAGGTTGAAACAAAAACAGGACGTTCAAGAATGATAAAATCTTGGCCCAGTATTTGGTTTCATTGGGTGATGTGAAATGCTCGGTGCTTAAACCATGAGGTGTGGACCATGAGTGTCCTTAAACTATCTTCCAATACTGTTAGTATTTACATGCCTTTTCTTAATATTTGTTTTGTCTTCCTGAGTTTAGCTGTCTGAGATCTGTTGGTATTGGCATATAATGGCAGATATGTAAACTACAGAAATCCATGTTTTATGGGCTGCATTTTTATGTGTTATTGACATACATTTTTTGTAATTCAAAGGTTCAGTGTGTAATTTAGGAGGATCTACTGACAGAATAATGCAATATAATATACATAACTATGTTTTCAGTGGTGAATAAAGACCTTACATAATGACCGTTGTGTTTTTATTACTTTAAATGAGCCATTTCTATCTACATACACTGCGGGTCCCCTTACATGGAAGTTGCCACATTGCGCGCCATGTTTCTACAGTAGCCCAAACGGACAAACTACTCTACAGAGCGCTTTCGTCACTATTTTGAATATGTATGAAATAGAAAAAATAGTAGTAGTAGTCGTCTGATTTATTAGAAGTAAGGAGAGGTGAAATTTGGACAAATAGAGGACCAGACATATTATTTAGCACAAGAGCTGACAGATCTTGTTGGCCAAAGTAGTTTCTCCTACACAAAGTGTAGTGAAACTACGCAAAGGGAAGGGTGAGCAGTCACTACACCGGCTGGTTGCAATTCATAACCCTCACCACTAGATGCCACTAAAACTTACACACTGAACCCTTTACGTTTGTTATATTATGCATTTTTTGTGATCTAAAGTTACTGTTGATTACTGTAAGTTTTCTCAAATGTAAAATATATTTACATCAGCATATCACAAAATGTGTTTATGAATTGGCCTCAAAAACATAGTATTCATCAGGCTCTAATCGTTAGGCATATTATGTTTTCCCTTTTCCAGTCACGTAACTAATTTGCATATCTGGTATTGCATAGGTGAAGTTTTCCTTTGTTGGGGATTTTACACATAAATAGGAATATTATATATCAGACAAAACCAGGACAGCAAGATGTCATACCAAATTTTGGTGTGGCTGCACTATTCTATGTATCTGGAGCACTTCCTATTTATTTAAGAACCTTGTTGCAATCCCTGTGATATATTTTGTATTAAACATTTTAGGATAGATTTACTGTTGGCTGGCATTTGTCACAAATGTTTTGTTTCTCATAATATAGGCTGGACCAGTTTTGTGTCCTAGTAGAGGTCACGCCTGTTGTCTACCTGAGTCTCTGAACCCTCATTATTCAAGGAGAAAACGCAACATAATCACAAGAGGAGACAGAGAGAGGAAAGCCATTATTTAGGGTAAAGCAAACCTGAGCAGAAAGGCCAAAATAGAAAGAGGCGTTGCCTCTGGCCTTCAGCTCCGGCTATCTCTTACCAAAACACCAACTTCAATGTCAGAGCTGCAAGCCTGCGAAAAGCTACCTTGTGCAGGAAACTGGCCCATCTAGGTTAAGGTTCCAGAGAAGCAGCAATTTACTGGCTAAGCGATGATTATTTAAAATGTACGGATCAATGGCTTGGACGTGGAGTATGGTGCAGGAGTGGTTTGAGAGCCTTTTCTGGCCAATGTGATCCTAACCAGTTTTGAAGTTACTCTGGGGCCTCTAACCCCGGGTTGGCATAGCTTTTAGTTGCCTGCGGCAGTGAGGAGAGGTGCAAAGCTGGCGGCGAAGCCATAATAACACAACAGATCTGTAAAATTTGAAGTACATTTCCCTACCACTCCTGACAGAACTCACTCGGCCGTTATCTTAGAATATAAGGAAGGGCGTCTCCTATGCTGTCAAATTGTATTTCTTAACTGGCCTTTTTAACAAGCTCCATTAACAATGTGGATAAAAGAAATAACAATGACCCTGCAAGTTGAAAATTGTTTTGATTTTTGATTTGTTATTATATTTCTTTGTCAAGAAAAGGCCAGGAGATACGTGTTATTGTTCAGAAGATCTGCCCTGCTCTTCTCTCAAATGTGGTTATCCTTATCCATCTGTGTCTCATTTCTCCCTGTTGTCCCTCTTTGTCTAGTTGATAAAAGCAGCAGTAGCAGCAGCGTGGTGAAGCAGGGTGCGATGGAGCAGCGTGAGGGGCCCCGGGGCCGATGGACACCCTGCCACGTTGAGCTGACACCCTGTGAGCTCCGGCTGTACACTCTGGACAGCAGCGCCAACCGCCAGCTGGGCACCGCCTACTCTCTGTCACACTGCCAGAGCGTCATCTCCCCGGCACCCAGCAGCCAGCCAGGCCAGATCACCCAGCCCGTCGATCAACGCACGCTCCAGGCTTTGTTCTTCAACAGCACGCGTCTTCAGCTGAGGGCAGCCAACCAATGGGAGGCCATGGAGTGGAGGCGGCTGATGTGGGAGAAGGTGCAGGCGGCCAGAAATGTGAGGCAGGAGAACCACCAGCGTAAGACCGGAGTGGAAAAGCAACAGGTCGTCAAGTTTCCTGCACCCATGTCACCCTCCTCGTCGCCCTCTCCATCAGGGCTCGACACCAGGCCTGATGGTGACAGCGACACTCCCACCTCAGCAGAGGCGTCACTCTCTCTCCAGCCTAGTTCTGGCGTCCTGAGCAGACCCACCACCCTGCCTCTGTTCACCCAACGCTGCCAGGACATCCTCAGAGCAGGTCTGCTCCACCAGCTGATGGATCAGAACAACTGGCGGGCCTTTACCTTCGTCTTGACCAGATCTGCTCTCCGGGCCTTCCCTACTGAGGGCCGTGGGTCTGTGTCTCAGCCTGTCCTCCAGTACTCCCTGGCTTCCTGCTTGGCAGTTCAGCACGATCAGGAGCCAGAGAACGGAGAGCCGTGGACAGATAGAGGGGACTGCTTCCAGGTCGTTTTCCCCAAAGTGGTAGTCAGACTTAGGGCGGATGATCAGCTCAAAGCCCAGGAGTGGGTGGAGGCCCTGCGGGAGGCGGCCAGAGCGCAGAGGCCTGCCCAAGAAGAAGGGGGGGAGTCAGGAGAAGGCGCTCCAGGCCTCCAGGGAGTGCTGCTGAGATCAAAACCAACCAGGGATAGGAGACAGCGGGAGGCTCAGAGAGCCAAGCGGCAGTCAGTCACCACCAGTTTCCTCAGTATACTCACCTGCTTGGCTGTGGAGAAGGGGCTCACTGCTCAGAGCTTCAGGTGTGCAGGTAAATGACCTACACACACATACACACACACACATACACACACACAGACACACACACTGTTGTATAAGAAGATTACATGGCAGTGAGAATCATTAAATATTAGCCGTGTTTTTCTCTATTTTCCTTTCAACACAAATTTACCCACCGAGGTTAGACATTTCAACATGGCATCCTCAATCTCAAGACTCCTCACCTAACTGCCTCCCAAGACAGTGTGTTAAGGGTATACAGATACATTATCACACACACATTGTTTGAGTCTGAAACAGAGGTCAGTTATACCTTCAAATCCTGCTGTTCTGAAACATGGTCCTCTTCCATGGTCCCATCAAGAAAGTGCGACTGCTTACCGCCATTGCCATGAAATAAGACTAGACCCTGTTTTGATTTCACTTGCTAATAGACATTTTCCAGTAAACCCTCCCCCAAAAAAAATTTAAGAAAAAGATCATGTGGGGCATCCCCGTAGCTTAGGGGTTTAGATGCCAACCATGAACCGCAGTGTCCCTGGTTCGAGTCGTGTTACTGACGGTTGGTAAGCATTCTTAACATATTCCCAAAAAATAGAACAAAAGTCGTCAATTCAGGGCAGAATTATTGAGGAAAATATGAGAAAGTAAAATTGGATAATATCTTTCTGAAGCTGTGTTCCAGATCCACACTATTGTTTATACTATAATATAAAGCCTACTAATCTTCACACTAGTGCTGAACAATTAATCGATATCTTATTAAAATTACAAAAGGGCCTACAGCAATTTTCAAATTGCAGGAGCTACAATATTTGTTAAAGGCAAAATGTGTATGAAAATATCGTAATGCTGCACAGATGTCCTGGCCTACACATCATGTTCTACATACTGAAGAATACATCTTTGTTTGGTGCAGATCTTTGCGAAATTCACACCATAATCATTTAAATATGTTTTTCAGTGAAAATGAGAATAAGTATGTAAAAATGATTGTTCTCTCCATTTTGTGGCAAATCATATCGCAATTGCAAAATAATTGTAACCCTTCTTAATACCATACTTTTAGCACACAAAATTAATGTAAATTACTATTTTATTCACAACGTGTGCCAAAGAACATTTCAAACCTGGATTTTGTCATCATGCCACTGCCCACAAATAGTTTTAAAATTGCTTCGCAGCCATGTTATATTAAAGTGAAATGTTGAATGTCTCAGTAGAATATTTGTGTTTTCTCTGACAATGTATGATAAACATCCCCCTCAAAGATCCCCTTCAGACATTTTTTGACAGAGAAGACATGAAAATATACTTGTGTCTTTCTACCTTGGTAAACATTTTTTAAATGACGTCTGCTCATTGAAAAATCCAGAATCTATGAATTCTGTGAATGTGCAGATTTTTTTTTTAATTAACTGCTGGACACACAATGTCAAAACCTCACAGTCAATGAATGAGAAGGAAAACATGTGTCATGTCCTTATTTGATATGAACCCAATAAAGCATTTCAAGTGGTTTTATTGTTTTTATCTTTAACAGAAATGCGTAGAATGTTGTCTCTTCAAATTCATCTATACCTTTTCCTATCAATCTGCAGTTTTGGGTGTTTTTCAGAATTTAGTCTTTACTCTTTTCCCTATCCTGAACCAATACTGCCTCTCTCCCTCCTAAATTATTACTCCTGTTCGTCTCCATACCAGCCTCTTGGACATAAATGGCAGGCGGTGCTTTTACTCTCCCTGGGTGTGAAACGTGGGCTTCCTCCCTCTCTCTTAGGAGGGCTTTGAATAATCACCGCTCACCTCCCTTTTTATTTGTAACAACTGGCTTATTAATGCAGGGCTGTTTGAAAGGCCAGCTGAAACGGGAACAAGGACAGAGGCCGTCTAGGGGCAACTGATGATAATTGGTAGGCTTAAAGCACCGGAGGAGAGGAAAAATGGATGAATGAATGAATAAATGAGAACGAATGAAAGCGGCCTGGGGATGCTACAGTGGTCAGGCTTGATCGTAGTTGTTTGATTGAAGGGTTTCTGGGTAGAGCTGGATGGGAGGGACAGCTGGATACGTCCATTTTTTATACAGAGCACACCTCTGCTCGCTCAGTCCATTTATTTCCCTCCTTTTCTTCCCTTTTTTTTTTTCCTTTCACCAGTTCATTCACACTCACAGCCTTTCCCCTCTTTGTCTCCATTTCTCCCTCTGTCCACCCCCCTCCTTTATTTGACTGTATCCCTTCTTAGTCTCCTGCAGTGTTCCTTTGCAGGTCCTGAAAACAGCCTTTTACACCGTTTCAATTTGAGGCTTTAAAATTGCATTTAAGTCCACGAGTTATTGTTAGAGGTCTTGTGTTTTTATAGGATTCTACTTTTAATTTCATTTGGGAAATTTGTCTTTAAAATTCAAGCTCACCAGCTTTAAGTTGAACTGGACACAGCATAGCCTATCTCCCTCTTTACTGGTTTTCTATTCTCTGCTCTACCCTGGGCCTCACCTCTGCTTGGTAGTGTGCCAACTCCTTTTTATTTAGATGAGGTCCAATTTTTCTGTGCTAAACAAATAGACATCTATACCTGTTCCTGTCAATCTGTCAGACTGTCAGAGAAAGAACTGTTTAAGAGAAAGGGAGGGAGAGGTTTGAAAGATATACGCTAGTCATTGCTGAAATGTTTATTCAGTGAATTGTTTATGTATCAATCAAAGTGTCAAACTTTTCCTGACTCCAGCTTCTAAGATGTGAAGAGTTGCTGCTTTCCTCTCTCTGATATAATAGTAAATTGAATATCTTTGTGTTTAGGGCTGTTGGTCGGACATCAGCTTGAGCTCTGGGAACTCATTATTCTATTAATATAAAATAATCAATGACAGAAATAACCCCTCAATGTTGTGATACAGTTTGTTGCATTACATTTTATTTTATGATGATTATTAGTGAATCTTAGCCTTTTTTAATAATTATATATTGATGAGTTTTGAATCAATGGGCTCTCTTCATGGGACTTTGTTAGTGAATAAGAATAAACACAATAATGCCAGTCTAATTCTTTAACTTATCATAGTGTTACTACTATCAGTAGTAACTCAATCTAGACTTGTTACTTTGGCTGTTGTAGTCTAATTAGGGATGAATATTTGCAGAATTGGATTTTTCAAAGTTCAACATTTAGGTGTTGAAGGAAGAAAAAAGGAACACTGACACAAACTGTCGGACTTTTAGACCTGGATATCAACTTTAAACACTCAAAACCCCATAATTCATCAAAACCATTCACCTTCTGTTGTTCACCTAAAAGCATATGTGATTATTCATATATGAAGCAAATAATGTGAACAAAATCTCTTGATGTAAGTGACTGGGAGTTATTTTAGTTTCCACTGGTTTCTCTTTGAACTTGTTTCAAGTCATCCCTTTGCATATGCATGCTACTTCCATCCATACATTTCAAGTGATTGGTTATTTAACATCAAAATGTAAAATGTATTCAACTAATTACACATGGGAATTGCTTAGTTTTTGATTCCTTTTGAAGGAAACGGTTAGTGTTTGTTTGAAGACCTGGACTCCCCATCACCCCTCATCACACACATTGTGCAGAGTGTGTCCTCAGGTTTGGTGACCCCTGTCATTGCACTGGAGCACGTTCTCAGGCCCCCGACACACCATGTGAATCTGATGGACGGGGGTGGGGTGGGTGAGCGGTGCTTTGGGTGAAGTGGGAATCAGTAGATATGAGGGAATAGAGGAAGTCGGAGGTGGGCTCACATCAAAAGATACAGTCTCTCTCTCTGTCTTTCTCTCTCTCTAACTAACGCACACAAACACACACACAATCACACTCACTGTCTTACACTTACCATTTGTGCACATTTTTATTTGAGTGTTTGGGTGGTGTGAATGAGACACATCAAAGCTGAAGCTTTTCTCATTTTTTTCAGTTTTAATTCACACACATGTACATACACACACACACTCACACACCAGCGTCCTCTCAGAGGTGTGGTGGTTTAAAACCAGCGGCGGGCAGATAAAAGCGTTAGCCCCTTTTTGCTCTGATGTCATCTCTCTTTCACTTTGTGTATCTCCATGTCTCTCTGTCACTCTCTCTCCAGCGTACACTCACCGTGGGCGGGTCAAAGTGACCCTCTCTCACTACAGAGAGCTGCGGTACAATCGGTAGACCTTTGAGCTACGTTTGAATTCCCATTCATCTTTCCCTCTGTCCCTCTTTCTCTTCGTCCCAGAAAGACCCATAAAAGATCAGAGACAAGTAGAGAAAGCAGTTGTTACTCTGTGGTGATAGTGGAGGAAGTAGTTAGCAGCAGAAAGTATTAATAGTTACTTACTATTCTTATAAATATGTGTAAATGCAATTATATGTTTATTTATATGAGGTGGAATTTTGCCTTGAGGTTGCAAGGGAGAAAAATGCTTAATATAATGCACTCCAGTACAACTGGTAAGTGGACTTACTTACACTACATGTCACATTCACTCCATTCACACACACTCTCACACCGATGGCACATCCTTCAGTATCTTGCCCGAGGACACTTCGACGTGAGGGCTGGGGAAAGCTGGGGATCGTCCGATTAGTGGGTGACCGGCTCTACCTCTAAACCACAACACCACCACTAACTATGACCTCAATAATAAACATAAAGTATAATCCAATTAGCACCTCTGTGACGGTGCCAAAAAACTTGAACATCAGAGAAGTCGACTTTATGGTAGAACAGTTGTATCGCATTAGACTGTACGGGTGTACCTAATAAAGTGGACATAGAAAGGTGTGTGTATATGTGTGTGTGTGTGTGTGTGTGTGTGTGTGTGTGTGTGTGTGTGTATATAATTTACTTATAAACTTATATGTATAGGTACTCTCTTACAGTACATACTTTATTTACCAACTCATTTATTTGCTAGTAAAGCACAACATACTATGTTATATCCAGGAGCAAAACCAATGTGTACTGTATAACTGAATGCGTTTATTTTTTATTTATATAACATTGCAATCTGTTCTTCTTGTTTCAGTCTACTTAAAATTCTCTCAGTTCATTGGTGAGAATTCCTGCAGGGTTATCTCTGTTTTGAGGATGTTGTGCTGCTTGTTGAGGTTTTGGTCAGTTTATGTGCTTGGTGTTATTTTATCCTTTCCCTTCTTCCGTAATCCCACGTGCATTATCTGCTGAGGCTTTAGTGCTCGTTTACTGGTTTACTGTTTAGAGCACATTACAGACTTTGGTAGATGCACATTTACCTCAGTGTGTGGGGTGTGTTCTCTTCTTTTCCTTATGATATAGAATTTGAGGTTAAAGTTTAAGGTTGTTATTTAGGTTGCAAATGTTTTCAGGCTACATACGTATGTGTCTTTGTTCCTCTGGTCCCAACAACAGCAGACCAAAATCGAGGCCACAGTTGGCCAGAAAGTTGGCCTGGTGGTCAGCTCTTTCCTCGAAGTGACACAATGTTTCTCTGACTGTTGACCATCCCCTCTGCCTGCTGGCTCACAACCAGAGGACTGTGGTTTTTTTGAAAGAGCATCCACCCCAACAACAGCATGAGCTCACTGCTGTAATTAGCCTAAATATGAGTTAAACACATGTATTCGAGCATGGGTCTTTAAAAAAGATAAGGCTTAGTTGTCTTCTTTTTTCCCCCATCTTATGCACAAGCACTAACATCAACCAAAGGATAAACCAATATCTGTTGTTTAAACTTTGGAAAGTAGGGATCATTTATAGATTACAGCTCTTCAATAAAGTGACAGTGGCAGAAGATATTTCAATCAGAAAGTGATTGAAAGAGACAGACCACATCTGGAGGTGGTCTGACTTACACTGTGATGTTTGACAGTTATAAATGGAGTTTGTACAGTTTAGCCACGTTTTTTCTCACAAAAAAAATATCAAGAAAATTAGAGAAAGCTCCAGACATCCCTGTCTTCTGCAAAGAAAACGAAAGTAGAGCCCATACAGCAGCAAAGCTTCGCAAGATTCTTCAGGGACCAATGTGATGTGCAAGACAAGGGTTGCTCAGTTAACAGGAGTGCTGCAAAGCTTCTCCATCGTAAGTAACATTAGCCTCGTTAGCAAGGCTAATGAAAAGTCTCCATCTGTCACTCACAACCCCCGCCATACGTACTGTAGCAGCCCTTCAAGTGTATCCTGCACACAGTAGCTTCCCTTGGCCTGGGACGCACCTTGTTTATTGATAAGTCTGTCAGCCCCGCCGACCTATTTTGCAAAATGAGCCTGGATGACAATTTAGGGAAAAATGTGGATAAAGATTATTAATACAATGTGTAAGTGCAAAGGCCGGTGATCCAGTTTTAACACAAGCTGGTCATTTTACAATTGAAAAATAAACTTGCCACTTCCCTCACTAGTGGATAACCGACGTGATAAAAATGTGACTGTTTTAAAATGACCTGAAACTTATCTTTGGCATTTCTGTACTACAATGTTACCTGTTGATCGACATTAAAAACAATTACTGATATCTGCTGAGCTCATCATAAATATATACCGATACAGCCGATTCTTTGTTCAGCACTGTACATTATCAGTATCAATACAATGGATCGGCAAAACGACAAAAAAATGACCCAAGTTGTAATAAACCAGTCACTGTTTTTGACATCACCTGACATATTACTTGCCAAAGGATTTATCAATAATCTAAAAGTAAATCAACAGGTTAATTGACAGTTACAGTGATTGTTGGTTACACTGCAGGGTAAGTCCATAATGTTGTCTGTGTGTCTGACTGGTGCCCCACCATCTTTTTTTTTTTTTGATCAGATAAAACAGGAATTCATCTCTCAGCGCTGTTTAGACCAAAGTCTTGTCTTTTTCAGATGTCAGATTCTTGTCTATTATAGAAAAGTAGCTGGCGTAATTTCTCTTTATTGTCTGTCTTCATCTGTCCTTGTTTGATCTCACTCTTCTCTCTCATGCACTTCCTTCTTTCCTCTCATCTCTCAATAGCCATTTACTCCATCTGTCTTTTTTTTTTGTATTTCCCCTTATTCAGTCTGTGCTGGTTCTGGTGTTAAAGCACCACTGACAAACAGGCCGACACACGTCTCTCTTCCTCTGTCGTTCTTCTTTTCTTTCAGTTTCTGCAGCGTTCCATGCCTATGTTTTCCAAGCTCTAGATAACGATCTTCTGTTTCTTTTCTTCTCTACCTCTCTTCATTTGCTGTTTTCCTTCAGGCCTCATGTCCTCCTGGATTGTGTGGATAAGGGACACCTGTTGCATTACTGTGGTGCTCAGCTGTTTGTGACTGTGTGTGTATGTGAGATCATAGATCAGTTTCAGGTGTTTTGGTGAGGAATGAACTTTAAAGAGTCAAGAAGACAAAGCAGGCAGGAGGGCAGCTATCAGGCTGAATAGAGCTGAGGATCTGATGGTCTTTAGGTCTACAAAACAAGTGCCTATTGAAGTCTGCTGTTGTGACTACTGGAAGAACCAAGACTGTTATCTTCAGATGGGATTACTTCAAATGAGTTGGGCAGGTAGATTTTGGCAAACAAACAGTGATAGTAATATTAGAAGATGCACCAAACAAAAAGATGGAAACAGAATTCTAAAATACTGCGTGCAATTTTGGACATACATGTGGTTTCATGACTTTGAGGACTGGAGTGGGCTCAACAAAATTAGGTAGGATTTCCCCCCAAAAATAACTAAAGTAATGTAATTGCCACACACCATGTTGAGATTGCTCATCATGATACCGGTCATTGTCATCAAACATAACATATTTAAGCACTTACTCCTCAAGAACACCACATTTAGTTTTGTGGACAGAGACCTGAGATATACAGATGGATCATTTAACCAGAACTTTAACTACAAAAACACAGCTTGCAGATGCTTTAAATATAGTTTTGCTCACCAAATGTCTTTTAGTTACTGAAATTGGTGAGTAAGTAACAAATAGCTGGTTATAGCTGTTTCTAAAGGCGGCCCAACGGTCAACAACAGAAAAGCCAACAGTTATAATAGTTGTTTAAATGGTGAAGATACACTTTCAGACTGTCTGTCCTGGAACACGTTTAGAGTTTTGCACTTTTTGTACACATAAAGAGGGTTTCTGTCAGTTTTGGTGATACATTAGTTTCTTTTACTTACTTAGCTGTATTTCTGGTCCCCTCTAGCATATTTTAGTATATTATAATAACACATTGCACCCAATAAATGGGAATCTAACTTAAATGAACATGAGGAAGTGGAAGTGTTAGCCTTTCATAACCTAAAGCCAGAGAACCTGCACTTAACTCTAGATGCACCTGTGAAGTTGTGTGACTTTGTTAAAATTGATCAAGGAGACTTGATAACCCCTGAGTTCACACTCTACTAAATTGCACTTGGCTCACAGAAGACACCAGAAGGAAAAGTCTGGAATTAGACCTCATATTGCATGAACAAGGCGGAACATTTAATGTGCGTGGAAGTCTGAGGCTTGTGCCTAAGACTGCCAGACAGTTTATGTAGTGTTCAGCAAACTCAAACAATCAAATGGTTAGAGTAACCTGTATGTTGGAAGTTCTGCCCGAGTTGAGAAACTTTCCAAAAGGTTTTCTGCTTGTCATTACTTACTTTTTTGTCATACTTTTTTAATGTGAGGAAATGGTAAAAGTTGAAAGGGATGAGCATCTGTAATCTTTTTAAAGAAGAGTATTAAGAGCACACTGTTTAAAGCAAATTCCGTGATTTATTCTAGAAAAGCCCCCACATTGAAAGCTCCCAACATAGCACAGACTGAATGATGTTTTCAACACACTGCTGTTCAGTATCACTGTCATTTGTGGTGATTTTTTGTTTAGTTGTCTTGTTCATACGGGTCATGATACAACATATTACCTTATTGGGGTCGGAGTTCCTTTTAAACCTAGACTATTTTGTTTATTATCTACAGGTAGACACGGCTGGATTAGTGTGGTATTTAGTGGGAGGCAATAAACTGACACACATTAACACCAAGTTATAGGCTCTATAACCTTTGTTCTCCTGATCTTGGCACTTCCTCACCTCTCCAGCAGACTTTTAACACCAAAGCTGACTTGTGCAACACCTTAGGCTAATTAGATCTCATAAATGCACACATAGAGCAACACATATGGATATTATTATTAAAGCCATCATTTTATGACATGCGGGGATGTGATACATTCTTGTTCCACATTAAGATAGAAGATTGTTGTGTTGGTTGGAGTCCCACAATTGACACTTTCTTAAAAGAGGTTATTTCCTCATAAATACGGAAACATTCAGACACCCTAGAGTATCACATTGTATCATAAATGAGTTTATTAATAAGATGTTAAGACACAAGTACTTACCCAAAGACTTTCTCCACAGGTTGTCAACGTCCAATCGGTCTTTCCAGAGGCAAGGCAAAGGTCTGCTACTACAGCGGCTGGTACTACTGCCAGAGCTGCCATCAGGACAACTCCTTCCTCATCCCGGCACGCTTGCTGCACAACTGGGACACCAGCAAGCACAAGGTGGGAAAACACACACAATGATATGCAAATACCCACCAACTCAACGATCTCACTGCACCAGCATTGAAAGTGTGCAGGATCTTGTAATGTGTATAAATATTAGGATATGGATAAACATTAGGGAACTATTGTTCTATTTTCCAGTAAGCGTAAGAGTTTTTCCGGACGTTAATTTGTCCCCTTTTACAAGGAATTCTGGTCAATCTGGACCACACTTATTTTCTTCGAATAAATGCGTTTTACGATAAAAGTCAAATGGTTTCACTCACACAAATCATCAAGGAATATTCTAAGGCAGCATTCACTTTTTTAAACCTGGCTCAACTTTTCCCACTATGCAACGCAACGTCATCTGGCAAGGCACTGCAGTGGCCATTCAAATGCATACAAGCACACATTTCTGGTAATTTATGTAACGCGAATGTCGTATTTCAACGTAGTATTAGGAGGATCTTCTTGAATTGTATTTCATTTTTTACTGGTACCTGAAACAACATGCAACAACGCAACCGCCTTGCACTGAAATCAAGTGTAATTTTTCTTGACTTTTGTGCTGATTGGTGCAGATGAGAGGAAATTCAGTTCCACATTTTGGGAAATTTCTTGTCAAGAGTTTAATTGAGAAAATTGACACCACTTTCATGTCTGTCAGCTAAATATGAAACCAGGAGATGTTAGTTTAGCTTAGCACAAGGACTGGAAACCATTGGAAACAGCTAGCTTGGCTCTGTCCAAATGTAAAAGAAATCAGCCTACCAGCACCTCTAAATCTCAATACGTTGTATCTTTATTTGTTAAAGAAATGTCAGGTTTTAGCCCTGCATCATCCCTTCATGGAACGTACAACTTGGTGGGTATTATCCCTACTCTCTGTTGTTGCAGTGATCCTGATGTAAACTCTGATGTGTTCCTCAAGGTGTCCAAACAGGCCAAGGAGTTCCTTGAGTTTGTGTATGAGGAGCCTCTGCTGGACGTCCAGCAGCTCAACCCTTGTCTGTATGAGCACTGTGAGCCTCTCAGCATTGTGCTGCGTCTCCGTCAGCAGCTCCAGTCACTGCGGGCCTACCTGTTCAGCTGCCGAGCAACTGTTGCTGAAGACCTCAGACGAAGGTATGTTGGTGGCGATGTCTGTCGTGTTGGGGTATTTTTTGTTGCACTTTCCAAAAGAAATTTGCAAAGTGATTCTTAATTTAGAGCACTGTTTCCCAACCTTCTTTGGCTTGTGACCTTTTAAAATGAAGCAACATCTACTCATCATCATACATTACAGATGTCTAAGGATTGTGAATAGTTGTTTTTGATTCATGTTAAGTGGTCCACAAGCATCAATTTCCCAGTAATTCACAATATAAAGTTTGAAAAAAACAAAAACATTTTTACAGCAACCCCTTGAATGATTCTGACCACCAGGTATGGTTAAAGGTTATGTAAGGTTAAACACCCATAGTGATACATACACTTTATGTGCTGTGTATATATCCAGTATAACAAATAGGAAGCACATGTTTGGGCAATATTAAGGCATTTTACACATACATTGTGAAATTTATTCACCTGTACACAGCCTTAAATGTCATCAGTAAAATCTAATAAATACTGAGTGTGGCATGGTTGCATCTTTACTACTTAAAAGCTATTCTGCAGCTGAACACTGGAGATTTTATTATAATTAGACAAAATTACTGGATTAATAATCCTCTTTTGTGTCATTAAAGGACATTTGCGGTATCAATTGCAGTTATGTAGTGCTCTCTTATGACCAGTTGGCAAGAGTTTGGTCCTGTACAACTGCAAGTTTAAAGGGTCAGTTCTCAAATCATACAAACAGAAGCATAACAAAACTATTTGCATGGTTAGGTAAAAGCAGGAGTAAACAAAATTTTGGTTGAAATGACATTAACAGGCAAAATAATAGGTGTTTGTGGCTCCTCCGATGGTAAACAGAGGTATGGAGCACATCTAATTTATTTTTAACATTAGCAGAGTTACACTGACAGGTGCACTAAAACATGTGTTATATTCCACTATTGGTGACCAGACACAGACTTTTAACATCTCTCATATGTGTGTGTTTACATGAGTATGTCTGAGTGCATGCATGTATATTGCCTTAACTTTTATCTGCATGCATTCTTGTGTGTGTGTGTGTGTATATATGTTGCATACACATAAAGGATGTGTGGCTGTATATATGTTCATGTGTGTGAAGGTTGGGGGGATAGAGGGTGACTGTTTATCTGAGTGGGGTCCCACACTGAAAGCCTTGTCTGTGAGCTGATGGATGCTCCTTGTCCAGGTCACTAATACACTCTAATCCAACTGCCATGTCTAAGGGCGAATCATCCACCTCAGCAGCACAAATCTTTAATTTCAGTAAATGCGAGTCACTGGAAAACCAAAATGTTATATTTGACTTTTAATTGTGAGCTAAATAAGAAAACATTTGCTATCAGGCCTATATTTTATTCTTCTTTAAATTGCATCATACATTTTTTAGCATTTGTAATTTGTGTGTATTAATATACTTCAAAGTTATGACAAGTGAAGATGTTATGATTTTACTAATTTGACAGAAGCAGAATGTACATTAATAACAAAAGACAAAGTGTCAAAGGCCACAGATGTCAGACGTTGGCCATGTAGCATTAGCCTGGTAACAGCAAAAAATACAAATTGTTTGTGATGCAGTAAGCAGAACAAGGCAAGTGTGTGTGTGTGTGTGTGTATAGTATGATTCAGGCCACGTATCATAAAATCTGTCAGTCCCCTCTAACTCTCCCCATGTTTCCTGTCACTCAACATGGTGTCAACTATTAAACAGTTGACAGTAGAAGGTGTCAAAAATGCTACACAGTCTTAAAGTGAAATGGCAATGAATGATAAAGGTAAATGTAGAAGTGTACTGCTGATTTGGACATGAGCCATGGTTTTATATTTATAGAAAATTAAAGTTTGGAAAATGAACAGAATTAAGCACAGCGGTTGTCCATGAATATCAACATAAGATGCTTAAACTGTGAAATATGTCGTTATTTTTGATCTTCATAAAGACTTTTAGTCTCCCATTATTTAAATGTTTTTCACCTCGGGCTTGCAAAGTAGCTTCAAACCAAATTTATCAGCCTTAAAGAATCCAAATTAGTCATACCCTGTTGCAGCACAGAGACGAGCAGCATCATGGCGTTCTGTGTTTACTTCTGTCCCATTAGCTAGTGCCGGCTAGTGCCCCGCCACTTCCAAACACTGCAGGATTGATGAGGGCCATGGCGCTAAAACCTTCCCCTCTTCATCAGTCTACTTCAGGGAGGGATCTGAAGAGAGATGTCTGTTGCATACAAGCACAGAGCCACGGATATACAATTGAGTGATCACAACCACATGAAGCACAAGTTAGAGAGCACTTTATTTTTGGCCCTGTGCAGCAGTTCTCACTGTCAGAGGGTTACAGCATGTTGCAAAGGCATCTTTGACCTGCTTAACATGCACCCTCATGCAGGGTATACACTGTTATTTTTTAATTTTGTTGTTCAGTCGAGGTGTGAATTGATCTCCGTAAATAAATCTCTCGGGTAATTGTGTCCGGATGTTCATTTCTTAGTAAAAGCTCAAGAATTTCATTCAAATGGTACGTACACGGACAGTACTCTTAAAATGTAGGTGGGGTTGTTATAAGAGGCTTCAGGGCCAAACCCATTTACTTTTGTAGCAGTTGGGAAACAAGAGACAAGACCTTTCTTGCTGTAACTGACACACTATAACCTATGCTGTACATTTACAGATTGACAACTTACTGGTAGCCTTTTCCTCTTGCTATTTGCTCTCTCTCACTTGTACCCAACCACACACTTGCTACACGTGTATGTTGTTATTAGCATACAAGAACAACACGGAAAAGAAGTGGGTGTAATCAACGTCACCTATTGGTTTATGGACTAGCGTTTTGAAGTCTTGAGTTTGGCATTTTGGCTGTCGCCTCATTGGTTTTGTGGAACCAGAAGTGACCATATTTGGATGAGTAGGTGGAGCTACCTAGCTAGCTTGGTTAGCAAGGTGTATCTGTAGCTCATGTTAACAGTTATATAAATTGGGATGCTAATTTTGGCTGGCAAAAAACAAGCTTAAAACAAAACATACTTAATGGAAACAATGAACAGCAAGACTCCTTAGAGTGTCTTTTTGTACAAACAAATTCTGAACAAGACATTTTTATGCGACCGAAACGCTACAATTAACTTTCATGAACTAAAAACACTCTGTGAAAGGATCAAAGTTCTTAGACAAAAACACTGACAGCACCCAAAACCAAGTTCAGAGCTAGTTAAATGTACACAGTGCAGTGGATACAATTCGCCTCTATTGTAATTGACAGGTTGCTGTGATAGAGACTTGACAGTCACAAGCTAGCTATGCCCTAAAGCATACCCTGCATTATTGTCTATTTTCCTCTAAATGGGATCATAATTTACAAAATGAACATCATGCTATATTGAAGAAAAAGAAACTAGTGACTGAGGCCAGAAAGTCATTGGGAAAGTGTTTACTGAAGTAATAAAGGGTCATTTTGTCATAGACTCCAATGCAATCTCACTTCTTTTAGCAAACAGTGGAGTCGCCTCCTGCCAGCCATTTGAAAGAATGCAAGTGAAAGGCATTTCCAAGTTGGTTTCACTTTTCAGACCCGGAAGTTGCTACTTGGGAGGGAGACAAGCTTTTATTGCACTTCTGAGCTTTGTCTTAGCTAGGGGTGGGAATCGCAGGGTACCTCACGATACGATATACGAAACATGGCTCACGATAACGATAATATCACGATACAGTAATTCTGCGATAATCAATATATCACTTGACAATCCTAAAGTGATACATCACGATATCTGTCTAACTATTAATACAAAATGCCCTTGAAAAAGTTTACTATTTATTTGCTGCAATTCCAAACTGTTAGAAAACAGCATAATTCTGCACAGTCTGTAAATAAAACTACAGAGCAACTATGAAAAAGTATTGTCAGAACATTTGTTTAGAAAAGGCAAATAAAATGCACATTCACTGAATTTTTACTGCAAATACAAATTGCTGTGTACCACCTAAGTCTAATCTGTACATCACATTATATTAATTGTTAATAATAATTAACTGTTCAGTGATACATCATTGTGCTGCCCTTTCTCTTCCTACTGATAGCTGTATTTTTAGGCCACTGGGAATATTGGGTTTGAGTTTTGACCCTTTGGGGTTGCTGTAGCTGGTCTGTGAAGCAGTAGAGTAGTAGATCAAGACAGAGAAGTTAGCACGATTATGGAGGTTCCTATTATATGTTAGCATTGAGCTAACCGTTGAAGCGCTATTGTTTAAATTAATATTAGGTATCGATGATGGGCTGGAATATCAATACAGTATCATGGAAAAATGTACAATGATATATTGCCGTATCGATTTATTGTCACACCCCTAGTCTTAGCATAATCTGTTCTGCCTGATCTGGTAAATTGTGCAGCTATAGCGCTGCTAGTTGGAAGATGCATTGAAATGTAAATGCATGGCTTGCTACAGACAGAATTAATTAAAATAAAACCCATTCAAGAAACAAATAATGGATTATTTGCATATGGATATTTACACACGCTAGAATTAATCATGGCAGTGTTTTTCTGGAACTAAACTTTAATGGGCAGCTCGACAGTCATTGCCGATTGATTCAATACATTGTCAATTCTCAATTGAATTGACAATTGGCCAAAGCCTGTAATTGTGGTTGTTAGGGTCAGTCAGGGTGTGTGCTGTACACATTGGTTTCTGTGGTGTTTATAGGTCCATATAGTCTTTGCAAGGATGTTTACAAAGTGATTCCTGGTATTTAAGGTGTGTTTATTAGGTGAATGTGAAGTTGTACTAGATGGCTGGGGTAGTGGAATAACAAGTTGCAGCTGTAGGAGTTAGTAGGTACTAGTAGAAATACATGTAGTGGTAAGAGCAGTTGCAAATGCTTAGCTCTTAGTCTTTCCTGGTCACAGATTTGGTCCTTGTCCGGCGCATGTGTATAAATGAGGGTTGAAATTTACAGCATCGACATCTTTGACACTGTCAACACAAGTTGAGAGGTGTAAGTTTGACAAAGATTTGGTTTTGGTTTGCATTAGATTGTAATATGTTTAGTTTATCCACTCCCTGCACACATGTATGCACACACAAACACACAAATATTTGCAGGACTTCCTACACCTGCTGGTTCACACACACTTATTCAGGTCAGACGCTCCTTCCGTACACGATCACAATCACTAAGTGATGACAGGATTTTAATTAATGATAGGTGTGTCTGCTGGACTGGATAGAGCACTGAGGATGGTGAAATGAAATATGGAATTAAATACTATCAGGTCTTGTACAAATATTGTCATGCATGGATCTGTATCTTCTGTTTGTAATCTAATCCTAAAATGTGTTGGTTCTCAACTACTTTTAACAACAACAACACACACTTTAAGGATGTGTTCATCTGGACATGTCTACACAATTAACAAGGAGCCAGTGCATATTTGATTAGTGTGTGTGTGTAGTCTTATGAATGCTGATGTGGTAACCATTGGTAACGTACCAAACAGAGTAGTTTATCAGTGGTGCCTATCAGCATGAGGTGTCTAGATTACATGCGCACACACATTTGAATACACTCACACATACTTGTGTTTTGGTGACACTCATCACAGCTTAGACAGGATTTAACATGGTGCCATCCATCATAGTAGTCTGAGAGGAGGCCTCATAACACACACACACACACAATCACACACACACACACACACACACACACACACACACACACACACACACACACACACACACACACACACACGTTTGTTCCTCTATCCTCATTGGGACATCTCATTGACATAATGCATTTCCCCACGGTGACGTTGCATCAGTTAATGTGGATTCAGATTAAATCCCCACCGAGATATAAAAACATGGAACAATCATCACACACACACTCACCAGAGCTCTCCTGTGTTTCCACTTAATGTTAGACAATATAAAGCTATTGACTCTAGATTAATAGTATTACTTTGTTTAGCACCATAGGCTGAAAGGACAGTGGTTAAACATTACATCAGTGTACTGCTCATATTTACAGTACAGTATGTGGTCAGGTTCAAAATCGACTGCAAATTTAAGCTTGAGCTTGCCTTAACTTTGTGCTTTAGTCAAGTCAGTTTTATTTATATAGACCAATATCACAAAATTGCCTCAAGCGGTTTTACAATGTGTACAGTATATATCCTGTAATCAGATTTACAGAGACAGTCAGTCACCTGGATCAGCTAGCTAATGTACTTCATTAGCTTCCTGAAGTTAATTAACTTTACATCAGTTTAGTCACAACATTAAAAGCAGGATGCCGTTTATGTTCCTAGTGGCCATCCCAGGCTCCCTAAACAGTGTTTAAAAGTGGTCTGTGTTTTTTGTGAAGAATGTGTCCAATCAAAATACCATACAGTTCATTCTACATAATGAAAACAATGCACATCCTTATACTGTATGTGAAATTGTACTTGTATGTACTCTTTTCAAATAGAAATGTTTTGCCTTGGTGGGACAATAAAGCTTATCTTATTCTTTAATATGTACATTTTAAGACTGAAGTATCATAGTTTAGTTCCTCTTTATTCTGTGTATTGCATGTGGAAACAATGACAATAAAAATATAATACATTCTACCTTGAGCACGCTGGAGATTGTGGTTATTATTTTGACAGAATTTTTGACAGGAAGATGTGCTGACCTGCTTCACAGAGAATGATGCATTTAAACCCGTGTGTCTTTTTACAGGATCTTCCCCAGGGAATACCTGTTACAGCACATCCACCTATACTCCATGGCTGACCTGCAGCAGGTACGTGTGTCACACACACACACACACACTTGTATGTATATAGTTATTTTGATGCCGTTCACATGTCTGAAACATTAACTAAAACTGAAACAAATGCATTAATCATTCTTAGTCCTTAGACCAGTCTGATGCTCACTTCTTCAAAGTGCCTGTTTTTTATGATAAGGACTAGTTTAGATTAAGTTTTAAAGTTTAATTTACAACAAAAGATTTAAGTTTAGTTCAATTTCAATGTATGCTGGGAGTAGCTTAGTTCCAGATCTCCAAATTGCTGTCCACATCTTAAAAAATGAAACATGTCTGGTGTTGTGGAAAACATTCAGTGCATTTGTGACACTAAAATTTTAAATATTTTGTTAACAATGTTGTTATCGCCACCTGCTCCTTATACCCTATTATCTGTTATATGCCTACTTATTTGTGAGTTATTGATTCAATTAAAGGATTAAAAGTCATTCATCTCAACAGGAGCCTTGCTACTAAAATCGATCTTGTCAGGGTATGGACAGCTTTACATAAACCTAATAAAATCACCATTTCTGAATCTTGGCTTCATAACAAAATCACTTATGATGAGGTGGGAATTGATAATTATGTTTTATATAGAGCTGATGGGACATCAAGAGGAGGAGGTGTGGCTGCTTATGTTGATACAAATCTGGTCTCTGAGTGTGTGTCTCTCCTAATGTTGCGCCTACTAACTTTGAGTGTCTTTTTACTAATATCATCTTTTATGAAAACAAACGGCTTACTATCGGAAATATTTATAGACCTCCGTCTGCTTCCATTGATTCGTTAAATGGTATCTTGGCTACTATTAATTCTCTTGACAGACACAATGAACTGATCATACTCAGTGACTTTAATAATAACTGGTTGGATCGGTCTTCCTCAGGTGATAGAAATCTTTTAGGCAGTGTAAGCCTTACTCAGTTAATTAAAGAACCTACGAGAGTTGATGGCCTTTCTTCTACCTTGCTTGACTGGATCCTTGTTTCCAATCTGGATAGGACTGTCAAATCGGGTGTTTTATCAGACTGCTTTAGTGACCATTCTATAATTGGTCACTAAGAAATAGAAAATTAAAATACAGAGTTCCCCCTACAAATACATCTCAATAAGTCAATGTCCATCCATCGTCAACTGCTTATCCTGCGTACAGGGTCGCGGGAAATAAGGCAATGTAAAAATATTAATGTTGATTATTACATACGTGATCTACGTATTAGATATTAGATGGGATGGGCTTCAACTAATTCCACTTGTGGAAGAGGCAAGGAACTTCTTCCACACTGAAAACCGTAATTGATAAACATGCTCCTGTGAGAACCATTAAAGTCAAAGGTAGGCTTTTACCATGTATAACCCCTGAATTACTTCAACTAATTAAACAAAGGGATAAAGCTTGGGTTAAGTTTCGCTTCTCAAAAGATGAATCTGATGGGACAATATATAGACAGTTAAGGAATAAATGTAAAACTAGGAATGCCAAATCTAATTACTATAGAGACCGTTTCTCTCGTGATTTCAACAACCCTAGGCACTTCTGGAATCACTTAAATAACATTCTTAACAAAAATAAAAAACTTCTGTGAAACAAATTTGCAAGGATAATGACATTTTATGTGATCCTTTGCATATAGCTCATGCTTTTAATCATCATTTTTCGTCTTTAGGTAGTTCAAAATCTGTTTGGTCTGATGGTTTGGCATGGTCTTCTAATTCTTCCCTGCCTGTTGGTTCTTTTTCATTTAAAAAGATCATGCCTACTGATGTCTTTAATGTATTACATGACCTTAAATTAAAGTGCAGCGCATGACCAGATGATCTGGAGGCTAAGTTTATTTAAATTGCAGCTCACATATTGATGTTTCCTCTTGCAGATCTTTTTAATCTATCATTAACTACCTGTACTGCCACAAATTTGGAAAGCTGCAAGAGTGACACCTCTTTTCAAAGGTGGAGACCAATCGAATGTGAATAATTATCGGCCGATTTCTATCATTTGTGCAGTTGCTAAAATATTTGAGAAATTAATTTTTAATCAACTGAGTACATTAATAATTATAACATTTTATCTCCACATCAGTCTGACTTTAGATTAAATTTTTCTACTTCAACCGCTCTCTTAAAATTTACAAATTATGTCTTCTCGGGTTTTGATAATGGTCATTTAATTGGTGCTGCTTTCATTGATCTCTCAAAGGCCTTTGATATGGTTGACCATTACCTTCTACTGGATAAGCTTTACTCTGTTGGTTTGAATAAACATGCTGTGCTCTGGTTTAACTCCTATTTGCATAAAAGTGTGTTGTTTACCAAGGATTCCAGTGAGATTATTTAATTGTTGATAAAGGTGTTCCTCAAGGCTCAACTTTAGGCCCCTTTTCTCGATCTTTATCAATGACCTGGCACAAGTTTGTTCTCATTGTGAATTAGAGCTTTATGCAGATGACACTGTCATCTATACTTCTGACCGGGATTTGCTGCAAGTTCAAAGAACTCTTCAATCTGACTTTGATAAAGTATAACAGCCGCTGTTCATTAATAAACTTGTGTTGAACATGAAGAAATCCTGATGCATGGTGTTTTCCACAATACAAAATCGCCCTTGTGCTTCTTGTTTTGAAATAAAGTTTTTAGATGGGTCCCTTATGCAGAATGTGGAGGAATTTAAATATTTGGGCCTCTGGCTCGACTCCAACCTTACCTTTAAGATACACATTGACAATATCCAAGGATGTGATTTTCATACAGATCTGTAATCATGCAGATCTGTAATAAAAAAAATGGGGGGGTGGGGGTACAGGACCTGGCCGAGTGAAATGGAAAGGATCTAGGTTGACGTGTGTAAAGTTTTCTTCCTTTCTAAGTATCAAGGATGTTCGTTTACGCTCAGCTGCCAATTCCACACCTGCGCAGTGTGTACCACAGGTGTGCTCTTGCGCATCAGTGGTATGTATGTGTATCAGTGTATGTTGGGCAGTAATAGGCCTACTGCAAAATTACTTTTCCCAGTAAAGACTAATGTAACGGATTACTATTTCCAAAACAGTTGTTTTATTACAGTTACTAATCCAAGTAACGCTGCGCTACTGAACGCGCCATCCCTGACGTGAATACGCGACCGCGCTGCAGCTCAGCGGGACTGGACCACATGTTGTTAAAGTCAGCTGTTAGCAAAGAAGCTAAAGGACAACTGGAGAACAGGGAGAGAGAGGTATTTTCGACAGCTGTAAGTAACAATATTGCCATTACTGTGTCACAGTCTAAGATGCTGAGAACATTGTCTTCGGTTGTAAACTTTGTGCGACCAGCAAAACGTTTTCAACCGCCAACAGTTCTACTTTTATACTTAGGCTAATTGAAGCATCAGCTAAAGCAACACAGCAACGTGAAACTCAAAGAGAAACTCCTGCCGCTGCTGCCAGTGATGCTTGGACTCATCGGGAGAGAGTGGCGTTATAATAGGCTATCACCCAGCAGTGGGCATAAGTAGAGTAGCTTATATTACTTTTTTAAGGAGTAGGTCTATAGCCTATGCTAAGTAACTAGTAGTTATATTATTTCTGAGTAACTTGCCCAACACTGAGTTGACAATAAGGATCAGATAAATTGGGAATGTTTTGAGCTTGTTAGATGTCTAATGTTTACTTTGACTTTGTTGTCTATTGATCACTTATGTAGCCTATACACTTTGCTGTGTGAGTGGTTGCTTTTTAAGTCGTGTTAAAGGTTTTTCTTGTGAATGGTTGTGACAGGGTTTAGGCTATATAAGGCCTTTTCACATGGGTCACTCCGCGCTCCTCATCAACAGACAAGCAAACAAGCGCTCCGCGAGGTAACCGTGGCATCGGCTTCTGTGTGACTGGCGTGATCCCGTTAAACTGTCGCAGTTGTTCTCGTCTCACGTACACGCCCGCCTGCTGCCAGAGTTGAAATGTCAAACTTTTTCCTACAGTTTATCAACAGATAGAGACTGATCAGCTGTTTGAGTTTCCTGAAGAATGTAAGTGTTTCTTTAACAGTCAGGCCACCAGGTCTTAAATAGGCAACAACCTTTGCTGCTGTCTCTTATTCATTAAAAATCATCTATTAACTTCAACTGAACTAATTTGAAAGTTAGTAGTTACATTATTTAGTTATAGACTCAATTATTTCATGTTTCATGTTGCACATTTAGCTGTTGAAGTTTGGTAAAAATAAATACAAAATAGTAATTATTATGGAGAGGTTGCGATGGCGCAGTGGATTAGACCCTTGTCTTTGATTCCCACTGCAACACATCCATTAAATAAGTTATTGTCATGGGTCCTGCTTTACCTTCCATGTTAGAGCCACCGCCAGTTTAATCAGGGTGTCGGGTGGTCTCAGTATATTTTCCTGCTTTTTTGCCCTTTGCCAATCACATGCCTGAATATCATTAGGAAAGTACTGTATATGGATGTCTTAACACTCTGTACAGATCAACCAATTGTTTTTCAACTCAAGTCAGAATTTTTTTTTCTCAACTGGTAATACCAATCATTGATTATGCAGACAGAGTTTATACTAATACCTTTGAGTCCAATCTCAGACCCCTTAATGTTGTATTCAATTCCCTTTGCAGATTTATATTGAACTGTCCATTTAAAACTCATCATTGTCTTATGTATGACTCACAAAACTGGTTGCAACCTAAACCACAAAGGGATTACCACTGGATTCTGTTTATCTTTAATGTGTTTATTCCAGTTGTCCTGCATACCTTAAACAGCACTTAATACCTTATTGCTCGACATACTCACTTAGACCTCCGATGTCCAACATTTTTTACGGTACCAAGGTTATTCTCTGTAGCTGGTAGGAGAGCATTTCAGTATAAGGTGAGGGCAAGTGAGCGAGTTATTGTTTTGTATATATGCCTGTTTTGTATTGTGTTTATTTTTTTGTATATGTGCTGTGTGGTTAACTTTTGTGTCTGTATATATATATGCTGCAGGACCCCCTTGAAAATGAGA